GGAGGAGGGGGGGCGAGATGCGAGTAGCGAGAAGCGAGGATGATGAGAGCAGGAGGAGGTGAAGGAGGAGGAGGAGGAGGAGGAGGAGGAGGAGGAGCGAGGAGGGAGCAGCGAGCAGCGAGAAACGAGGAGCGAGGCGCGAGTAGCGATGAGCGAGATACGGGAAGCGCGAAGCAGGAGGAGCTGGAGGAGTAGAAGGAGGAGGAAGAGGATGAGGGGAAGGAGCGAGGAGAAGCGGGGAGGAGGAGGTGGAGGAGAAGTAGAAGGAGGAGGAGCGAGGAGGAGGATGAGGAGCAGCAGCAGCAGCAGCAGCAGCAGCAGCAGCAGCAGCAGCAGCAGGAGCAGGAGCGGGAGGAGGGAGGAGGAGGAGGAGGAGGAGGAGGAGGAATGGGGAAGAGGGGAAGAGGGGAACGAAGAGGAGCAAGTCAGGGCAAGTCAGCAACCCTTGGCGCTCTCAACGTACGTGCGTTCGCCCAACATGTGCGGTCCTGCGCGGACCTGGGCGGCCCAGGTCGGTCCCGAGAGCGCCCCCAGGGGGCCCGAGCTGGCCCCAGACAGCAACGAGAGCGCCCAGGCCACGTCCACGACGGCCGCTGGGAGGCGCAGACGGGCCCCCTGAGCGGCCCGCGGGCGCTCACAGGGGGGGCCCAGGGCGGCCTCGAGGCGGCCAAAGAGGCCCCCCCACAGCGCGGCACGAGGCCTCCGACAGGACGCCCAAGGGGCACGCGTCGCCCCCTATCCCCCTCTGGGAACGCGTGGGCCTGAGGGCACTGTGGCTCGTGTCTCGAGGCACGGTGGCGGATGCACCTTGCTCGTGGCCGGCTGTGAGCAGCGGCATCTGTTCTTGCATCCCCGGGGGAGAGCGATCGACCTGATCGTGTCGATGAGACAGCCGCGGCTTCTGCGCGGACAATGGTTAATTTACTGCCGCCTCTGGAGTTGCGAAATAGTTTCACGTGCCGTCACCCTCATGGGTAATCACGGCTCTGCTAGCTAGAGGTGTTGTCTGCACCATTGCGAGATTTCCTTGTCGAAAGACAACATACAATCGGCATGATCCTACTATCCGAAGGGCTTTAACCTTTGCCGCCAGCCCCTCCCCCCTGATTGCTTGTGTGGCTACACTTATTCGGTTGGTTAGTTTGTTGATTTGTCGGCTGACTGGCTGGCAATTCTGCTGGTTGGCCTGTTGTCTAAACACTGTGTTGGCAGTTGGATTTGACTGGGGGTCTGCGCACAGCTGTAGTAACTCACGAGGGATGGCACCCTCTGGAGCGCGCCTCTTTCGATCCATACTTGCATGTTCATGCTGTGCATTGCGAATGTGTAGCGCCAGGCGTTCTGCTTTATGGTGTTTTTGGGATCGGTTCCTTTTCTCGCCCGTCGAGGCGGATGGGAGACATACCACGACACGTTCAGGAAAACGTGAAAGAGGCGTTCCGATTCGTCGGCAATTGGTGTGTCCCTCTCGCAGGTTCAACCGTCGTTGACCTGTCCCTTGTTCCCAGCGTGCCCGCCGTGCCCGGCGTGCCCCGACTGTGTGTGTTCTCCCAACATGTCGACATGTTCGACGAGTCCGCCAACCGTATTTCCAGGTATCTTACCGCACCAGGGGGAGGCACTCGCCTGTTTCTGAAAGGTCTCGCTCGTCGTCTGCGTGTCCATCGTCCTACTAATCAGCATCTTCATTGGAGTTTCTCTGGAGCCGTGCCGTTTGAGGCGTGGGAATGGGAACGAATTGAGTGATATTGCGCAGCTGACCAGGCCCCAGCTCGACTTCATTCCTAAATAACTGGTGTCGAGGGCCTACGTGGGAATGCTGTACGACGCTCACGTCTTGTCGCGGCCAGTTTGTCAGGCACGCCAGGCTTGTATGCGTTCATACTTGTGTTGGCGACCAATACGATGGAGTTGTCAGCAGTGAGTGCAGGTCTGATCGGAGTCAAGTGGATAAGGGGCTCAAGGCACCACGACGCACAGGGTTCGGAGCGAATGAATCTAGCGATTTCACCCGGGCGCGGCTCGATGTGGAGCCCGATGTTCTGCACGTTGGCGTCGCCGATTCGGCGCGATCCCCCGACCCTATCTACTTCGACCATTCGTTGCCTCGATACGCCCGTTTTGAAACGCAACACGTCCCGTGTTCAAGACGTCCGTGTCAATACGTTGCGTGTTGGGTCCGCGTAGTGGACCACGTTCTGGCGAATGCATCGCGTCGGACCTACGTTTTCAGTCTGCGCGTTGAGCTCCGTATCGGTACGATGCGTGCTGCGTGCTGCGTATCGGGGCAGCGAAGTTTCGACCCCATCTATTCGGAGTCCGCTTGGGAGGCTCTTGGGCCGTTTTGGGGGCCTCTTGGGAGCCTCTTGGGCAGTCTTGGGGCCGTCTTTGGGGCCTCTTGTTCCGTCGTCAACGCCGTGAAAGACGAACAGCCGTATGTGCTAAAATATACGTTTTCCTCTGGAAAATTGGGAGCGTCTTGGGGCGAGAGGCTTCCAGTACACAGTTGGAAGGGAGGGCGGGTCTGGATGGAGGAGGCCGCGCTGCGAGGAGGGGCGGGGGGCGGGCGGGAGGGGGGCGAGGGCCTGGGCCGCGGGGGCGGGGCCCACGAGGGGTCCCGCCGCAGGGCTCGCTCACGGCACAGCCTTCCCTTTTCGGGGGGGCACGAAAGAGTCCGCGTGGGCCAGGAGCGACGAACGAACAACACACCCATACCAGTAAGGGGGTCGTTGGGAGGAGGACTGGCTATGGGTATGGGTGCGGGTTGTCGGACCCCAGGAAACGCTCCCGTTCGAGCGGGGACCCCCCTCCGACAACACGCACCCATTGCCCTTTCCGACCCCCCTATGGGTATGGGTGTGTGTTGGTTCGTCAAGGAGCGAAACAGTGACGCACGCGAGCATGAACTCAGGTGGCCCGCGAGAGAGCGCATTACGCGAGCGTTCGTGACACGAGGGCGGCCTCGCGAACTGGGGAAGGGGGGAGGGAGGGAAGTTCGTGCACGTGGCTGGCCGCACTGTCCTTGACTTGGCTCCCTGACGAGCCTGGGGCAGGACGGGGGCGCATGTCCGCCTCACTTCGATGGGGGCTCGCGATGGCCTCGCAAAGGGCAAGGCTGAGACTAGAGCAAGGGACCCCAACGGACAGCAGCCGCACCGCGTTGCGGCGGCGGACACGTCGTGTGAGAACTCGTGGACAGTCGTGGCACCGCAGCGCTACGATAATGCGACTGGAGACGAGACCCGAGTGCTCGTGCGACGACAACCGAGAGTACCTTTTCACGAGGCCCCGCCCCTGGGACCAGCTGTTCCTCGAAAGTTTCGGGCGGACGGCAGGGGCGGGGCAACAAACGTGTGGGGACGGAGGCCTGCAGGAAAGCGCTCTGCACGGGGCTGTAGAAACGGCCCCCAAAGCCCTGCAACCGCGGGCACAAAACGATGTGCAAAATGCACACGTTTCTTGCACGAGCACCCGATGTTTGATGGCCACCGAGCCCAGAACGGGCCTCCAGAAGCAGAATTCGGTAAGGGCCTGTATCAAAAGCAGCCCGCGACGCCGACCTCTCGGAGGATCACGGCTCACAAGGATGTCCAAGATCCAGGTCGTTTTTGTTGTGCGATAGTCGAAACCGATGGCAGGGATGTGCCATCTTCCCAAGGGCGCCTTTGCATCCGCACCTCGTTCGTCAGCTCTTGTCTGTTTTCCATGGCCTGCCGCGCTCGACAAATCTTCAACACGGGCGTCCAGGGGTTTGCATGCTTATCGCGCGTCCTCACTAAGTACAGTGGGGGCGCGCATCATGAAACCATCTGCTTTTCGTCAGGGTATCCTTGGTTTCTTCGCTCCGCGCGCTGCGCGGTGACTCCCCGCAACAGTTGAAGAAGCTGCTGCGTTCAGGATGCTCAGGTCTTCACCTCGCGTGCGGGTTTCCAGGGTTGGGTTTCTTGCGAAGGTTTCTTGCGGCCGCGCCCGCGCTGTACCCGTTCTGACTGCAGCGCTGCGATTCCATCGCGGAGAGCGTCAGGGGGGAACGAACCGTGGGAGGGCGCAGCGCCCCCGGCTCGCCCATGCATCGCCGATATGGGGCCCGATGGCCCACCCCGCCCCATGGACGTGCGGTTTCGCGATGGGGGGCTTGCAGTGGAGACCCATGCCAAGAAACCCTTTGCCTGCCTCCAGGGTGCCCTTGGTGTCTCGGGTTTCGATGGACGTGCGGTTTCGCGATGGGGGCCTGCAGTGGAGACTGATGCCAAGGAACCCCCCTGCTTGCCTCCAGGGTGCCCTCGGTGTCTCGGGTGTCGATGGTTCCGCGCACGGAGCGCGTGGCGTCCCCGCGCCAAGACGCCACGGACGTCCCTGGGGGGCCTCAGGGCTGCGGGTGTCCTGCGGAAGGTTCCTTGCGCAAGGGCCCCAGGCTGTGTTGCCGATGTCTCGGCGGTGCACCGCCGATCCAAGCTCGATGCGTCCCTCCCTGAGCTGGTCCCCCCTTGTCGTTTAGTCGGGCTTGTCCCCCTACAGGGGGGATATTCAAAAATAGTCAAAAAATCTGGGGACGATTTTGTGATGGTGTCTGATCATTTCGTGGCATGGTTTGATTATGTTTGATTTGTCATCCAAAATCCGCCTGTAGGGGGACAGGCCTGACCTAACCCTATCGCCCCCACCGATTAAAAACAACAAATCTAGTTGGGTCACGGCAGAAGCTCGGCGTGACGCGGGCCAACGCCGATTGGCGAGGCAGTATGCCAGGGCATGTGTCAGTGAAGGCACAGGTGCAGAGCCAGGGACGCAAGATACACATGGAAGTTCCTTGATGGATGGGAGCGGAGGTGCCGTCGTGCCAGTTGTGGCACGAGCATCCCCGCGCGAGGCCCGCGCGCGGTCCAGATGTGGATCCAGCCGTGCGTGACGACCCATCTGTCGTTGAACGTGGGTATTGTTCTGCAAGATCGTCTCTGCCTTTGGCTTGCTAATATCATCCCCTCTCCAGCCCCATAAAGGTGCCGACGTGGGATTGGAAGAAGCTGAACCGTAAGGAGACCTTGTTGCTTCTTGCTCCCCGCCAGCCCTGTCCTCTCGCCTGCGCGTTCGCCGTCGCCTGCTTCTTCTCGTCCAATGTTCCCCTCCCCGCCGCCGCGCAGCACAGACTTTGTGTGGTCCTTCATGGGGGCCTCAGAGGATTCCAGCATGGTCTGCGGTTTCGTCGGGCTTGGTCGACATACATCTGGACGACATCAGCTGGATGGAGTGTGGACGAAATCTGGACGACAGGGTCAAGAGAGGCCGTCGAAACCTGGACGACAAGGATGTCCACAGAGGCCCCCATGACGGCTCACCCACCAGACCGCCGGGAGCAGGCGCTGGATCCCAACGGGCGCATATTTTGGGGCGTCGTGGCACCTTCTTGGGCCTCGGGCGTTTTGATCAGGCCCAGCGCCATTCCGTAGGCGTGCCCCCCTCGGATGCGCCTGAGATTGTCTCCTGGCATCGTGTTGTTCGGTCGCAAAATACAGGAGCCTTGTATGTATATATATATATATATACCCTCGCATCGTCCGTCTTTAGAGTGCGCGTCGAGTGGCGGCGGCTGGTAGTCGATGAGATTACGCCGATTGCGTATCGATTAGCGACGATTGGGCGTCGGATGAACGTCGGCCAGCGTCGACGACTGTCCGTTCGTAAGAGCTAACAAGATGGCATGTGAGGCTCCCGCGAGTTGCCAGCGACGTGCTGCCAGACCTCGGCGGCGCCCCAGGGGCGTTGCGCGTCCCAGCGTTGGGGTGTCGAGACCGCCCTGGGCTACTCGGAGGGCCTGTTGAGGCCAGGGCCTGTTGAGGCCAGCTTGGGCCTCGGGGCTGTCTGTGCGCCACCCGAAGCTGTACCAGGTCAGCGCACAGAATGAGGACCTGCCTTCCTCAGCAAGCGCCCGCAATGGGACAAACTTTGCATGAGGGGAAAGGGGTCCTGAGGGAAGCGGGTCCTGGACCCGGGGGCCTTTCCCCAGGACGCGATCTGCATCCTGCGCCGTTTTCACGCAGTCCTGGGGCCCGTGGAGGGCCCCGAGGGTCCGAAAATGATGCGAAAACTCAGGACGCGTTTCTCCGAGGACCAGTTTCCCCCATGGCGAAAAGCGTGCGCCCGGGAGCGCTGGGGGGGGGTCACTTCCGGCATGGAGGCGAGCCCATCATCCTGAGTCGTTTCCTGACAGTCCCGGGGCCGAAAACGGGGAACATTTCAGGACCCGTTTCCCGGAGGACCCGTTCCCACCATGGCGACAAACGTGCGCGACCCGGAGCGCGGGGGGGGGCTTCTCCGCCGGCGTGGCGACGAGCCGTTCCTTCGGCAGCCTCGCGGTCAAGCGCTGTGGCGCGTGCCAGGTGGGCTCGGCCTGCGGCGAGCCCGGCCCCTGGCTCTCTGGCCTGTCGCGGCCCGAGCGGCGGCGGCCGGCGGAAGCGGCCAGAAGGGCGGCGGAAGACTGGCGAAAGTCCAGGCGAGCCGCCATTCAGAGGCGACGACGGGGGCGCATAGCCCAGGGGAGAGCAATACGTGTATCCAGGTGCGCCGATGATCTATGTCTTCGAAGAGGCTCCCGGGCGAATACGTGTAATGCCCGCCTCTGGGCTATTCGCCCCTATCGTCGCCGCCGAGCCATGGGGGATGCGGGTCCTGAGGGAGCAGGTCCCGAGGTTTTCCGCCGCGTTCGGGCTCTCGGGGGCTTCCACGGGCCTCGGGACTGTCAGAAAGCGGCGCAGGATGAGGAGCTCGTCCTGGGGGAAGGCCCCAGGGTTCAGGGACCCGCTTCCCTCGGGACTCAGGACCCCCTTCCCCCCTATGCTAAGGGAGACGTCAGCACGTACACTGTGGGTTCAGGGCTTCCCTATTGGGACAGCATTTGTACGGGACGTGAAAACGACCACAGCCGCTGCTTTTCTTTTGTTGCCGCCTTCCAGCCAGCAGAAACAAAGCAGTGGTTGTGGTCATTTACGTTCAGCTTGGCACCAGGGAAATGACCACAACCACTGCTTCTTTTTCGGCCGGCTGGAAGGCGGCGCAAACAAGAAGCAGTGGTTGTGGTCGTTTTCCCGTCCAGCCATTTGCGGCACAGCAGCAAGCACGCCCATCCCTGCGGCGGGGCCCCAAAACGAGGCCACGCTTGTGCTGAGCCTCACGAGGTGCCCGCGGGGTGGTCGGCAGGCGCAGGCCGAAGAAGGAGGGGAGCAGGGCTCCACTCCTGCGCTGCCTCCCCTCCTGCAGCTCCAAAGGCCTGCCCTGCTCTGCCGCCGACCCCTCGCCACCCTTCCCCCTCCCCTCTCCCGCCCCCCCCCCCTGGCCCTTCGTCCCTCCTCCTCCTCCTCCTCCTCCTCCTCCTCCTCCTCCTCCTCCTCCTCCAGCTCCTCCCGCCGTCCCCCCAGCCTCCGCCCCCCCGTGGTCGCCTCGCCTCCCTCCGCAATCTCGCCCATCCTCGCCTCCCCCGCCCGCCGCCCTCTCCCAGGAGGAGGGGGGTGGGGAGGGGGCCTGTCAGCGTGGCGGACAAAGGCCGAGGGCGAGGGTGGGGAGATCAGGAGGGATGAGAGAATGCAGTTGCAGCGGTGTCCACGTGGCAGGACCCGCCCTCGATATGACACAAGCCCCGGCTGTGAGCGGCACCTCGCGTCGCCACCTCCTCCCAGGGGGGCGGTTCCAGTGGTGGGTGACGATCAGGGTTTGACAGGATGGCCGGGGTCACGATCACTACAGTGAAGACGCTGAAATAAGGAATTGTTTGGGTTCGGAAGGGGCTCGATGTTCCCCAGGTTCCTGCATTGCTGTCCCTCTCGCCCTCCTCGGGCACGGAGCCGCTTTTAGGGTCAAAAAAGAGTTCGTTCCTCATTTAGCGTTCCTTCTTTCAGGGGCCCGACTGTACCCAGATGTCGTGACCCCCTCTTCTCGTTCCAGCGCGTTCCTCGGCCGCCGGTCGGCCGCGCACAGGCCTCGGGCTGTGGTTTGTTACCCCCCCTCTCGGACGCCCCCCCTCTCGGACGCCTCCGTCTCCCTCCTCCTCCTCCTCCTGCTTCTCCTCCTCCTCCTCCTCCTCCTCCTCCTCCTCCTCCTCCCTTCTCCCTTCTCCTGGACTTTCCGTCTCGCCGCGCAAGTCCTGCAGGCCACCTTCAAGATGAGCTACAAGGCCCGATCTTCTGAGATCCAGGACGCCGCCGCCCCAGCCGCTCATCGGTCGACCGGTCTCGGCAGGAGGGGAAAGAAGAGGAGGAGGCGAGATGTTTCCATACGTTTTCTTGGGTTCATGGATGTTTTCAAGCCTCGATGCTTCCCAGCAGCTGCGCCTCGCAGAGAGCAGAGAGCGCTCCCGTGGGTGCCCGAAACTTCCCGAACCGCCGCTGGAGACCCGAGTCATAGCCCGAGAACCCTGACCCAGTTTGCCTTGCAGATCGGTTTGCGCGGAGTCCTCGTGATGTATTTTCCCGCGCTTCTTTTCCATTTCGAGCCAACCGTCGCACAGTGACCGTTCACCTACTCCAAAGCTCCCAGGGCAGTTCGTCGACGTGGTGGACGCTCCAATCGCACAATCTTTGACTGAAGACATCGAGCCTGTCATCGCGCTGATGCGTCAACAAGGCCAAGAACACTGTCCGGCCCCACGACCAGGACTGGACCTAAACGGTGTTTTTGCGATTTCGTGGGCCGTTTTCGTTCCGACGTCGTTTTGCGGTAAGGGCGGATTGAAGACAACACGAAGGAAAACGAAAACAAAACGAAGACGAACAACACCGCTTAGATCCAGCCCTGCCCACGACCTCCAGACCCATGTATCGACAACATTCCAAGCGGATCCGTTTCGCCGTGTTTGGCCCCGAGGGCCCTCGCAGGGCCCACGACCTCCAATCCCCGAAACAAGGCCAAGAGCACTGTCCGGCCCCACGACCTCCAGTCCAAGGTATCGACAGCATCCCAAGCCGATCCGTTTCGCCGTCTTTTGGCCCCGAGGGCCCTCGCCGGGCCCCGGGACAGGCTCTTCGCTCTGAGGGCTGCGTGCGCAGTGCTGGGGTCCCGCGTGTGCCCCCCAACAGGCGAGAGCGGCGAGCACACATGTCGCGCGTTGGCTCCTCCTCCTCCTCCTCCTCCTCCTCCTCCTCGTATTTATTCCTCCTCCTATTTCTTCCTCCTCCTCCTCCTTCTCCTCCTCCTCCTCCTCCTATTGTTCCTCCTCCTCCTCCTCCTCCTGCTCCTCCTATTTATTCCTCCTCCTATTTATTCCTCCTCCTCCTTCTCCTCCTCCTCCTCCTATTGTTCCTCCTCCTCCTCCTCCTCCTCCTCCTCTGGAGGTTCCATGCGTCGGAGGTCTTTGGGCTGGGCCCCCCTATCGACGCTTGCCCTTGAGCCGCTTACTCGTAGTTTCCGTCCCCACGTTGGCGTGTTATTGTCAGCCCCGCCCGCAGGTGCACGCACCCAGACGTCCGACGTGGACTCAATGTTGAGGTTGGTCGGCGTTTTGGGTCTCGGGGGGCCATCGCCAGGCCCCTGAACCGTCAACACAGGCTCTGGACGTAGACATGACCCAACCGGAAGTCGGAGCTTCCGGGGAACCCACACTGGAAGTATCGGTCCAGCCCTCGGCGAATCTGCGGCGGCGGCACCACATATACAACGGGCTTATACGTGGATGTCATGCATGGGGCGCATCCGATGGCATCACGTACCCATGGGATCGCGCTCCGGTAATGTTCCCCCGAGGGGTGCTTGGCTTTACTCTGGACGATCCCCTCGGGCAGAGGCGTGGACGGGACAGGTGAACATCCAGACCTTCAGCGTCTGTAGCAAGTCAATGCGATTCGCCGTGTTTTCGGCTTCGGGGGCTTCACCAGGCCCGGAGACGGTGGAACAACGACGCGGGAAGAGAGAGGCTGACCCCGGGCGAAGGGTTGAAACTTCCTGGAGGCCCCGTGATCCTTGAGACAGCCAAGACCAGACTGCGCACCTTTGGTTGTGATGTTCCAACTTACTTTAGCTTTGATCACCAGAACGAATTTCGAGCACCAGAAAAGTGCCGAGACTCCAGGGTTATCACGTGTCGGGCCCTGGGAGACTCGTCCGACACTGTTGCGACACTGTAGGGTGCGCGGGCGTCGATTAGCGTTTGGTCAACGATGAGTCGCGAGAGCCAACAAGACGGTATGGGAGGCTCCCATGAGTTGCCACCCGATAGGGGCGTGATGCCATACCTCAGCATGGGGGCGTTCGGGAGGGCATCCGCTCCTCCTTTCCGCCCTCTCGGACGATGCGTAATGGGAAGCGGTATACGTGGGGTGGGGGGGCCAAGGACTGCACCTTCCTACAGGGGCTCCTTGGGGCGCCAAACTGGAACGAAGGTGTACACGTTTCTTCGCGCCCCCACTGATCGCCCCCCCCATTGAGCAACGCGCAGCCAGCCCTCCTCCCCACCTCCCCGGCCCACTTCTCCTCCTCCCCGCCTCGCCGCCTCCCCTCCTCCCCGCCTCCCCGCCTGGGATGACCTGTGGTCTCCCAGCACACCTTCTCCGGTTGTCGTTGCACAGGTGTCTGGCGCAATGCTTGTCGCTCATCTGCGCCTCTGTCCAGGCTGACGATGGGCCGTCGTTCCGACCCGATCGGGTCCGATCCCCAGCCCACTTCTCCCCCACGGCCCGCGCACATTTCTTGCGCCCTCTCCTCCGCGCCCTCCTCCCCGCCTCCCCACCCCCATGTCCCCGCGCACCTCGCCGGCGGCCCCTCTCCTCTCCGCCCTGTTCCACTCGAGGAACAACCTAGCACCGCTGGGACTTGTGTATTTTTCCTCTGCGAGCACCTTTGAGGAGCAATGTGGATCATCGCACGAAAAAAACAGAGTGAAGGGGGCGAACGGTCACATTCACTGTCCCTGAGTACGTGGCGGAAGAGTGATTCCGAGGTGCTGATTGTTCTTGCGCTGTTGCGTTGAATTCTCATCCTTGAACAATAGTTATTCCCAACCATCCTGTGGTGTTGGGTCTTCGTTTTAAAGAGACAGCGCCCCGCGTCGCACTGCTCCTCCTTCCTCCTCCCTCTCCTCCTCCCCACTCCTCCATTCACAGTTTTCTTGGCCCCATGGGGAACTCCGAAGGCCCGAGTGGCTGCGATCGCATGTGCCGACCGCACCCAAGTGGGCCAACCCTTTATATGTTTCGCGGCCCCACGGGCAGCTCCACAGATGGCTCCATTGGCTGCGTTCGCATGCGCACACCGCACCAATTTCGGCACACCCCTCACACGCTTCGTGGCCCCATAGGGAAGTCCACCGAAGGCCCAAGTGGCTGCGCTCGCATGCGCCCACCACACCCATTTCGGTACACCCCGCACTCGCTTCGTGGCCCCATAGGAAGATCCACCGACGGTCCCAGTGGCTACGTTCGCATGCGCCCACCGAATCCACTTTTGGCATGCCCCGCACACGCGTCGTGGCCGCATAGGGCGGCGGCTCCAGTGGCTGCGTTCGCATGCGCCCACCGCACCCATGTCGGCACACAGTTCACACGTTTCGTGTCCCCGTAGGGGGCTCCACCGACGGCCTCAGTGGCTGCGTTCGCCTGCGCCCACCGCACCCACTTCGGCACGCCCGTCGCACGTCTCGCGGCCACATAGGGAGCTTCACCGACAGCCCGATCGGTTGCCTTCGCATGCGCCCACCGCGCCTATTGCAGCACACTCCTCACACGCTTCGTGGCCCCACAGGCAGCCCCACCGACGGTCCCAGTGACTATGTTCGCATGCGCCCACTGAGTCCATGTTTGGCACGCCCCGCAAACGTTTCGTTACCCATGGGGAGCTCCTGCGACGGCCCCAGTGGCGTTCGCATGCGCCACCTGTATGGCACACCCCTCACACGCTTCGTGGCCCCATAGGGAGCTCCACCGACGGCCCCAGTGGCTGCGTTCGCATGCGCCCACCGCACCCATTTTGGCACGCCCCCCCTACGTGTCGCGGCCCCTTGAAGAGCTCCGCCGTCAACCCCAGTGGCTGCGTTTGCATGCGCCCACCGCGCCCATTTTGGCACACTCCTCCTACGCTTCGCGACCCCATGGAGAGCTCCGCCGGCAGCCCCAGTGGTTGCGTTCGCATGCGCACACCGCACCCATCTTGGCACACCAATCACATGTTTCGTGGCCCCATGGGGAACTTCGCTGGCAGCCCCAGTGGTTGCGTTCGCATGCGCCTACCGCACCCATCTTGGCACACCCCTCACACGCTTCGTGGCCCCATGGGGAGCTCCGCGGGCAGCCCCAGTGGTTGTGTGCGCATGCGCCCACCGCACCCATCTTGGCACACCCCTCACACGTTCCGTGGCCCTATGCGGAAACCCACCAAAGGCCCCAGTGGCTGCGTTCGCCTGCGCCCACTGCGCCCATCTTGGCACACCCTTGCACGTTTCGCGGCCCACAGAGAGCTTCACCGAAGGCCCCAGTGGCTACGTTGGCGTGCGCCCACCGCGCATTCTTCGGCACACCCCTCGCACGTTTCGTGGCCCCATAGGGCATTCCACCGACGGCCCCATTGACTGCTTGCGCATGCGCCCGCTGCACAAATTTTGGCACGCCCATCATAAGCTTCGTGGCTCTATTCGGAGCCCCTCCGAATGCGGTGCATACAACGACGGTGTTCACAACTACATATGGTTGGGTCCTTCGCCCGGTTGATTTGTTATTGATCCCCCCCGGTGCAGATTATGTTTGTCAATTGTCGAGATGGATTCGCCATTCATGCTGGACTCACGCTTCAGGAGACCGCTTGCTCGACCCGGCCGCTTGGGCCCGCCTTCCCGACCCGCCCGCTAGTGTCAGCCCGCCCGTTCAGCCCGTCTGGTTTTGCCACGTGCGTTCTGCTTCTAGCCCGCCTCCTGCAAATCTCTCTCGTGTTCCATCCTTCTCTCTCCCCCTTCCATCCGTCTTTCCTTCCCTTGTTTTAAGGTTGCGCTCAATGCGCGTGGCAGGTAAAGAAGATAGAGGGCAGTCCCCCAAAGGGACACGACCGCAGACGAAGAGGGCAGGTACCGAAGCTTTAGGAAAGACGTGCCGAATGGCAAGCGAGAAGATAGGATCGAGCAGTGTGAACACGATTGATGTTGCAGTTGGTATTGTTGTTGGTGGTGGTGGTGTCGTATTTCATAATCGCGCTCTCGCGCGGGATCTTCACAATTGATCCATGAATCGCGCTGTCGCGTTGTATGTCCGAACGATGTTGTTGCGGCGCCGTGCCCCCAAGATTGACACATCGCATTTCCGCTGGGGTTCACATGCATTTTGAATCATGAGTACGGATCAGTTAGTGAGAAAGTCAGACAACAAAAACCTTTAACAAGGCAACTGTAGTAACGACTATATTTATATATACATATATATGTATCACAAGGGAGTCTTAGTGAGGAGTCCTTCGTAAGGAATCAAGGGTCATGATTTCTTATTTCGAAATCATTATCAAGGAGACCTGCAGGATGGGTCCCTAAACAGGAAGCCCGTAGCAGAAATTACGTAGGAGCCTTTAACGAGGAATGTGTATGCACGGGCCTTTAGAAATAATTCAGTATTACGAAAGTGTCAGTGAGGAATGTGTAGGAAGGGGCTTTCTGAAAAAAAAGGGATCTTTGGTACGGTAATTCAATAATTACAGTCGCGAATCTTCAGGAAGGACCCTTATCAGGGAATTCCTAGTGCGTGCGATTGCATATAGAAGCCCGGCGGAAGAAATCCGCAGTACGGAGTGCGTATGCCAAATTCTGTTTTGAAAATCCGCAATAAGGAATCCTTGGTAAGGAGTCGCTACTAAGGCGCCCTTGCTGAGGAATCTTACTAGGGAGCCGTAGCAAGGAGTTCTTGAATGAGCAGTGGGGAAACCGTATGCTTTCTTCCGAGGAATCTCTGGTACGCAGATCCACAGTTCGGGATCCTGAATGAGGGTTTACGTAGAAGAAGCCCTGAGACGAAAACCCGTCGCCAGGAATATGTTTCAAGACATCTTTGTGTGAAGAAAGCCCTCAACAAGGAGTCCTTTGTAAGGACTCCCGAGTAAGGAGTCCTTCATCAAGAGTCCATATCTAGGAAATGTGCAGCAAGGGCCACTCTGTAGGTAGCCCTGTTTAAGGAATCCTGAATGAGGAATCCTTACTCAGGGGGCCTTATCAATATCGAGGAGTTTTCCAGTAAGGACTGATTGGTAATAGAAGACTCAGTAAGGAATCCTTCGTAAGGGGCTCCACAGTAACGAACCATTCATAAGGCGTTCTCAATATGAAGTCCTGAGTAAGGAATCCTCTGTCAAAGCCGTTGCTACACGACTCTTGGTGAGGAATATGTAGTAAGGAGTCCGTATGAAGGAACCCGTATTCAGAGAATATGTAGTCAGGATTCGTAAGTAATGAAACCATTGTATGGAGTTTTTGGACAAGGAATCTATCGCAGAGAATCCGTCAGTTCAAAGTTACAACAGAGTGAGGCGGCCGAACAGTCATTTATTGTCCTGGGGCGCGTGGTTCGGATGATGTTCTGCGGTGCGGATTGTTATTGCTTTTGTTGGTTTGTTGTTATTGTTGATATTGTGTGTTGTTGTTTTTGTTGTTGTTTGTTGTTGCTTCGTTGTTTGTTATCGTCGTCCCCCCGCGACCCACCTGCGACCCACCCACGACCCGGCCCGCGACCCGCACCTGCGACCCAACCGAGTCCAACCCTCCCCAACCCGCGACCCACCCGGCCAGGCCCGCGACCCGCCCGCGACACCCGCAACCCACCCGCGACCCACCCGCGACCCTTTCCGCGACGCGCTCACGATGTTTTGACGATGCGCCGACCGCGTTTGTATCGGTTGTGAAATTTCGGCGCCTGCAGCGAGCTTCTTCAGAGCCTCGCAGGCTGCCGACGTCCCCGCCGCCCCCTCACTCTTTTCCGCAAGTGCAGGGTGTGACGCATTATTGACTACCGGAAGGAAGCTCTCAGCGAAGAGTGTTTTGTCGTTTTCAAGCTGCAACGACAAGTTGGTTTGGAGCTGGATTGTTTTTGTTGTTGTTGGTGTTGGTTTTGGTGTTGTTGTTGTTGTTGGTTGTGGTTGTTGGTTGTTGTTGTTGTTGTTGATGCTGTTGTTGTTGTTGGTGTTGTTTGTTGTTGTTGGTTTTTGTTGTTGTTGATGATGTTCTTGTTGTTGGTGTTGTTGGTTGTTATTGTTGTTGTTGCTGTTGATGTTGCTGTTGTTGTTGTTGTTGTTGTTGTTGTTGTGGTTGTGGTTGTGGTTGTGGTTGTGGTTGTTGTTGTTGTTGTTGTTGTTGTTGTTGTTGTTGTTGTTGATTGGGGGTGTCGTTCTGAAGACAGGTGTCAGGGAAGGTCCTTGCCCCCCGTCGCCCGAAAAAAGGGCGTCCATGGAGGTCCCGGTCCTTGTTGTTTGTTGTTGCTGCTGTCATCGCCCCACTTGCGACCCACCCGCGACCCTGCCCGCGACCCCTGGCCTGCGACCCACCCGGCGACCCGCCCGCGACCCACTCGCGACCCACCCGCGACCAACCCGCGACCCAGCCCCGACCCTCCCGTGACCCACCCGCGACCCACCCGCGACCCCGCCCGCGACCCACCCCGCGACCCACCCCGCGACCCGCCCGCGACCCACCCGTGACGCACCCGTGACCCACCCCGTGCCCGCCCCTCTTTCTTATCTTTTCCGGAGTGTTACGTACAAACGAAACGCGCGAAACCGAATAATGCATAGGGAATGGGCGCACGAGCGATGGCAAAGCAAACGACGCCAATTAGAGAAGGAGGTGACGGAGGAGGCATACATTTGAGCTGTCGGAGGTCTACGCCGATCAGAGAAATCAGCGCGGACCTCCAGAAGGGAATACGTTTATTCCCCAGTCAGAGCTTGCCACTGTAGGGGTCCTAGCGGATTCATATGGTTAGGTCAGGTGCGTCGCAGATTTCGGTGGCCGGCCCGGGTGCCCGGGTACCCAGGGGTGCCCGGTTGCTTGGGTGCCCGGGTGCCCGGGGGTGCCGGGAGGAGCCCGGGGGTGCCCGGGTGACTTGGTGCCCTGTAGCCTTATAGCACATAGCCTTATAATTGAATAGCCTTATAGCGTTATAGTCTTACAGCCCTATAGTCCTAAACCCTACAGCCCTATAGCCCTATGGCCCCATGGCCCTATAGCCTTATAGCCTTATAGCCCTATAGCCCTATAGCCCTATAGCCCTAGCCCCAGAGTCTTATAGCCCTATAGCCCTATAGCCGTAACAAGATTATGATTGGGGCTTATCTCCGGTATCATGCAGATTGCTTGGTTCCCCGACTCTGCCTCCGAAGGCTCAGGCGTGGGGCGGGAAGGGGAGGGGGGGGCGGCGCTGTCGAGGCCAGCGTTCGATGGGCGGGGCGCAAGAGGCCAGGGCAGTTCCGAGGTCATCGCCAAGCTCCTGCAGACCTTCGAGACCAACAAGGCGGACGCCATCGAGAAGGAGGAGAAGGCCGTGGCGGCCCACGATGCCCTCATGGAGTCCCTGAACTCCGAGCGCGGCCTGACCCAGGAGGCCCTCACCAAGATGGAGAAGGACGCGGCCTCGCCGCCCAGGCACAGGGGGGGGGAGGGACGAGGAGGAGGAGAGGGGAGGGGAGGAGGTGGGGCGTGACGAGAAGGGAGGAGGGGGAGGGAGGGACGAGAAGGGAGGAGAAGGGGGAGGGAGGGGCGAGGGGGGGGGATGAGAACGGAGAGGGGATCGGCGGCGCGCCGAAGGGGGGGGCAGGGGGAGGGGGGAGGGCTCCTTAGGGGGCAGGCTGCTTCTCCGAAGCCTTAAGTCGGGCCTTCCCCTCGACAGGAGGAAGATCAACAAACAGGCAAACATCGTCTGGGAACGCCTTTTCGACTATGTTCGAAAATTTGTTGCGCATTTTGGGGGTAACGGTTCATTTGTCGCCCAATATCCGCCCGTAGGGGGGCATGCCCGACCTAACGGAAGCCCTCCGAGGTTTCCAGGAAGCCCCCGTTGGGCTTCTGACAAGCACCCTTCCTTCCAAGAAACCCTTCCCCCCCCCCCCCATGCCCCCCCTCGGCGCGCTGCCGAGGGGCGCATCCACCAGTACAGCGGATACGCTGAAGTAGGGAGCCGTCCAGGTTCGGACGGGGCTCGCTGCTCCGTCGGTTTTCCATGGTCGTTCATCGATCCTCCCTCGTGCAACCAGGCCAGGCGCTTCGTGGCCAAGACGGGGAGTCGTTCCTGGATTCCGCGTCTCTTGTATTAACAGCCCGACGTGCAAAGGACGGTCGCAGCACGTTGCTTCACCACGCGATCTTGGAAACATGGGATCGCGGAGGAAGGAGGGTGGAAGATCGAGCAGGTGTTTGATGATTTGTTGTCGTCTTTGGGAGTTCTGGGGGGCCATGGGAGTCCAGGGGGTCTGTGTGTGTGTCTGTGTGTCTGTGTGTGTGTCTGCGTGTCTGTGTGTCTGTGTGTCTGTGTGTCTGTGTGTCTGTGTGTCTGTGTGTTGTGTGTGTGTGTCTGTGTGGGCCTGCGTGTCTGTGTGTCCGTGTGTCTGTGTGTGTCTGTGTGTCTTTGTGTCTGTGTGTCTGTGTGTCTGTGTGTCTGTGTGTTGTGTGTGGGTGTGTCTGTGTGTCTGTGTGTCTTTGCGTATGTGTGTCTGTGTGTCTGTGTGTTGTGTGTGAGTAGCGTGTGTTGTGTGTGTGTGTGTGTCTGTGTGTGTCTGTGTGGGTGTCTCTGTGTGTCTGTGTGTCTGTGCGTATGTGTGTCTGTGTGTCTGGGTGTCTGTGTGTCTGTGTTTGTGTGTGTGTGTTGATGTGTGTGTGTGTGTGTGTTTGTGTGTTTGTGTGTTTGTGTGTGTGTGCTTGTATTTATGTGTGTGTTTGTTCCCCAATCAGAGCTTGCCTCTGTAGGGGTTAGGTTCGGTCTGTCGCCGATTTTCTCTGCACGCCCGGGGGCCCGGGGGTGTCCGGGGCCCAGGTGCCCGGGGGGTGCCCGGGGGTGCCCGGGTGCCCTGGGGCCCGGGCGTGCCCCGGGGGTGCCCGGGGGTGCCTTGGGGTGCCCAGGGGTGCTCTATAGCCCTAAGCCCTATAGCCCAATAGCCCTATAGGCCTACAATTCTATAGCCCTATAGCTGTATAGCCCTATAGCTCAATAGTCATAGAGCCCTATAGCCCCCTAGCCCTATAGCCCTGATTGGGGTTGTTCTCCGGGATCATATGTGTTTTTGTGTGTGTGTGTTTGTGATTGTTGTATGTGTTGTGTGTGCTGTGGATTGTGTGTGTTGTGTGTTGTGTGTGTGTTTGTTTGTGTGTGTGTTTGTTTGTGTTTGTATGAGTATGTGTGTGTTTGTGTTTGTTGTGTGTGTTGTGTGTGCTGTGTATTGTGTGTTGTGTGTGTGTGTTTGCTGTGTGTGTGTGTGTTTGTGTGTGTGTGTTTCTGTGTGTGTGTGTGTTTGTGTGTGCGTGTGTGTTTGTGTGTTTGTGTTTGTGTGTGTTTGTGTATGTTTGTGTGTGTGTGTGTTTGTGTGTGTGTTGTGTGTTTGTGTGTTTGTGTGTGTGTGTTTGCGTGTGTTTGTTGTTGTTTGTGTGTGTTTGTGTGTTTGTGTGTGGTTGTGTATGTTTGTGTGTGTTTGTGTGTGTTGGGTGCTTGTATGTGTTTGTGTTTGTGTTTGCGTGTGTTTGTGTGTGCTTGTGTGTGCGTTTGTGTGTTTGTGTGTTTGTGTGTGCGTGTGTGCGTGTGTGCGTGTGTGCGTGTGTGCGTGCGTGTGCGTGTGTGTGTGTGCGTGTGTGTGCGTGTGTGATTGTGTGAATGTGTGTGTGTCTGCCGCTGTGTGTATGGGTGGGCGAAGGGGGTGGGGTGGGCGGCTGGGGGCGGGGGCGGGGGCGGGTACAGATGCGGGTGCGGGTTCGGGTGTGGGTATGTGCGTGCGGGTGTGTGCGTGTGCGTGTGCGTGTGTGTGTGTGTGTGTGTGCGTGTGCGTTTGTGTGTGTGTGTGCGTGCGCGTGCGCGTGCTCGTGCGCGCACGTGCGTGCGTGCGTTGAACGGCGTCGGTGAAGAAGTACGCGCTGTCGCTGGCACACCTGCTCTGCGGGTCATGGATCCAGGGCGGGCCCGCCCGCGAGCTTGCAGTCGCGCCGGCCGCCTCCCCCTCGTCCTTCCCTCTCTTGCGACCATGCCTGGACCTCAGGGGCCTCGACAGGGGGACGGACTGGCCGGGGGGGCAAGGGGGAGGGAAGCATCGACCCCCAGTCGCCCAGTCATCGCCAATCTCGGCCTGGGTCCCCCACGCAGGGCACGCAGGGCACGAAACTGCCTCGCTGGGGCTAGCCTTAAGTCGGGCCTGTCCCCCTACAGGGGGATTTTCCATGAAAAATAAAAAATAATCCAACAATAGTCAACAAATAATCAAACAAATAGTGTGGAAACTATTTGTTGGCCTTTTTGGTGTATTTTTAGGGAATTTTTAAATCATTGTTCGTCGAAGATCTCCCTGTAGGGGGACACGCCCGACATAAGGCTAGCCTCCCCGGCGCGCCTCTTCGGCGGGCGGCGGGCGGGGGGGGCCCTGCCCGTGCTCGGAGCCCGCGCCCTGGCGCGAGGAGAACGGCGCCAAGTCCCTCTCGAGGACCGAGGCGCAGGGCCGCATCGACTTCCTCAACGAGCAGATCGCCTGCGGCCCAGCCTGGCGGAGGAGGCGAGGATGATTCGGGAGTGGGAACACGCAGACAAGGAAGATATTGGAATTTGTGTGAAGCGGAGGGGGGAGACTGACAATCAAGAAGACATGAGGAAAATATCGGAGATCTTTCGATCTGTGTGTATTTATTTGGTCGCCCCCCCTGTGATCATACCTCTCTCTGCTTCTCTGCTTCTCCCTTGTGTTCCTCTCTCGTCTGTCTCTTCCTCCTCTCCTCTTCCTCCTCCTCCTCCTGATCCTGCTCCTCCTCCTCCGCCTCCGCCCCGAGGGGGCCCCTCCCGTAGGGGAGGGGTCGGGACCCTAGGGTCCTCCTGGCGCAGGCGGGGAGCGCTGGGCCCGAGGGGCGAAAATCCCCCGCACCCCGGGGGACGCCGCCAAAGTGCGGTTTCCTTCCCCCGGGGGGGTCGCCAGGTCCCGTGGCCTCCCCCAGGGCGGTGCTGGTTCTCCCCAGCACTCGCCGCCCTGGGGCGGGACCGGCGGCTCGTCTCTGTCGTGTCGTTCGTTCGTTTCGTGTCGTTCGTGTCGCGTCGTTCGTTTCGTCCCCCCGTCGTGTCGCGTCGTGTCGTGGTCCCCTTTTTGGTTTTGGTCCTGGGGGTCCCGGGGTCCGAAACCGCGGCCACCTATGGAGTAGGTGGTGGGTAGGTTGGGCGTCGGAGCTCGTGCTCCGGCGCCCCCTGCCCCGACCAGGGGGCGCGGAGCACGGTCTCCTTGCGCTCCCTGGTCGCGCTGTACAGGCCTGCTGCACCTGCCTCGTTGCAGCTGGCGTCTGTTCCTTTTAAGGACTCAGAGGTGAGCGTGGAGCCAAAAAATATCCTCCTCCGCCTCCTCCTCCTCTTCCTCCTCCTCCTCCTCTTCCTCTTCCTCCTGTTCTCTGTAGCAATACAGAACCGATACCAGACAGCGCTTGGCACCGTCAGTGCAAGGAACCAGTGTGTTTTGTTGTGTTCTTGTTTGTTTTTGGAGCTACGAAACACTGTGCATGTTTTGTTGTTTTGTTTCTTGTGGTTTTGCAGGTCCCAGTGCTCGCCGCGGCCTCCCTCGCAGCACTTCATCCTGAACCTGCAAAACCCAAAAACCAAAATTATCCCAGTGGGACCCTACCTAGGAGTTGGAACCCCTAGGAAAGCAGCATTAGTAGTAACAGTAACGCTAAGCTAAAGCTAAGCTAAAGCTAAGCTAAAGCTAAGCTAAAGCTAAGCTAAAGCTAAGCTAAAGCTAAGCCACAGCTAAGCTAAAGTTAAGCTAAAGCTAAGCTAAAGCTAAGCTGAAGTTAAGCTGAAGCTAAGCTAAAGCTAAGCTAAAGCTAAGCTCAAGCTGAGCAACAGCTAAGCTAAAACCAAGCTACAGCTAAGCTAAAGCTAAGCTACAGCAGAGCTACAGCTAAGCTCAATCTAAGCTAAAGCTAAGCTAAAGCTAAGCTAAACGCTGAGCGAAAAGCTAAGCGAAACGCTGAGCTAAAGCTAAGCTACAGCTAAGCTAAAGCTAAGCTAAAGCTAAAGCTCCCAGGGGACTGGGGGGAACCGCTCCCAGGGGACTGGGGGAACCGCCCGAGGCGCTTTCCATTGCCCGGCACCTTTAAGTTAAGAGAGTAAGAACCCTTCTAGGCAGAGCCTAGGTAGGGAATAAATAGTAGTTGGCGCCCTTGGTGCAGGAAAACGCTGTGTATTGTGAAGGCCTGACGGCTGGTGCCGCCGACCCTGAAAGACATCGACGACGACCAGGAGGGGGAGTAGGAGGAGAAGGAGGAGGAAAAGAAGGAGGAGGAGGCGGAGATAATGAGGAGGAAGAGAAATCGGAGGAAAAGGACTCCCCCCTGGACCCCCCCCCCTGGGAAGGAGGACCGGAGAAGGACCGGCGCTCGAAAGTTGTCGTTTTGAAACGGCTTTGGGCGTTGATTAAACAGCACTGCCCTGTTCGACATTCCTTGTGCGCGTTTACTAAAAAGCTTCGCTTGTCGGGGTGATTATTACGGGGTGCATTCTGCCCTCTACACCCGCTATCCACCCGTGATCCACCTGCGACCCAACAGCGACCCACCCGCGACCCAGTTGCGACCCACCCTCGACCCACCCGAGACCGACCCACATTGGTTGAACGAAAAAATCGGAGCCTGCGGCAGGCTCGTTGCATAATTTGTGAAATTTTGGCGCCTGTGGCGGTCTTCTCCAGAGTCTCGCCAACTGCCGACGTGACCACCGCCCCCTCACTCTTATCCGCATCTGCGGGATGTTACGGTCAGATTCAAGGGGCCGAACGGTCATTCATTGTCGTTGGGTGCGTGACTGACTACAGAATTCGTGGTCAGAATTATGTTTGTTGCGTTGTTGTTGTTGGTGTTGTTGTTGTTGTTGCTGTTGTTGTTGTTGTTATTGTTGATGTTGATGTTGTTGTTGTTGTTGTTGTTGTTGGACTCTCATTCTTGAAGAATAATTATTGTTGATCCCCCCCCACCGGTGCACATTGATTTTTTCGATTGAAGTGCCACCCCCGGGGCTCGCACCTTGTTTTTTTCTCAAGGAAAGTCTTCCTGCTCAAACTGTGCCCCTGCCCCCCGGGCTACAACAACAACGGCTCCCGCCTGAGACTTCTTCGATTTTTACTCAGGACCCCCGCTCCCGCCTGAGACTTCCGCGCAATTTACTCAGGAAAGGCGCTCCCGTCTGAGACTTCCTCGCAATGTAATCAAGACCCCCGCTCCCGCCTGAGACTTCCGTGCAATTTACGTGGGAACGGCGCTCCCGCCTGAGACTTCTTCGAATTTTACTCAGGACCCCCGCTCCTGCCTGACATTTCCGCGCAATTGACTCAGGAACGGCGCTCCCGCCTGAGACTTCCTCGCAATTTAGTGAGGACCCCCGCTCCCGCCTGAGACTTCCGTGCAATTTGCTCAGGAACGGCGCTCCCGCTTGAGACTTCCTCGCAACTTAGTCAGGGCCCCCGCTTCCGCCTGAGATTTCCTCACAATGTACTCAGGACTGCGCTCTCGCGTGCGACGTCCTCACAAATTATTCTGGAATTGCGTTTCGGCGCTCAGGAACCACGCACGCGCCAAGGACGCCTTCACAACGTGGTATCTTCCCTCTTCCTTCGTCCTTCCCCCTCCCCTTCCTCCCACTCTCCCTCGTTCTTCCCCTCCTCCTCTTGCAGGGCCCGCGCCAATTCCAATGGCGGGCAGAGAGATGTACGCCCCCGAAGGATTGTCCGCCCGTTCCGGTTTGCCCGTACGTCTAAGCCCGCCGGCCCCAGCAAAGAGAAATAATCCCCCCGAAAGGGGTGTGATCGAAGACGAAGAGGGCGGGTATCGAGGGTGTAGGGTATACGTGTTGAATGACTCGCGGGCAAGTAAGAGCGTACAGCCTTAAAATGGTTGTTGTTGTTGTTGTTGTTGTTGGAATAAACGGGGGTTGGGGCCGCGTGTTCCCCCCCCGGCAACCAGCAACCAGCAACAATCCATTAGGGAGGCCCACCGAAGCTTCATTTCGGTGGACCTCCCCACGGGATTGTTGCTTTGGCTCCACAGGGCGCTCCTCCGGAGCTTCATTTCGGCACACCCCTCTCGAGGATCGCGGCCCTGGCTTCGCAGGGAACCCCACCGAAGCTTCATTTCGGTACACCCCTCTCGAGGATCGTGGCCCTGGCCCCGCAGGGAGCTGGACCGACGCTTCATTTCGGCACACCCCACTCGAGGATCGTGGCCCTGGACCCACAGGGAGCTCCACCGAAGCTTCATTTCGGCACACCCCTCCTGAGGGTCTCGGCCCTGGCCCCACAGGGAGCTCCACCGAAGCTTCATTTCGGTACACCCCTTTCGAGGATCGTGGACCTGGCCCCACAGGGAGCTTAACCGAAGCTACATTTCGGAACACCTCTCTAGAGGATCGCGGCCCTGGTCCGACATGTAGCTCCACCGGAGCTTCATTTCGGCACACCCCTCTCGAGGATCGTGGCCCTGGCGCCACAGGGAGCTCCTCCAAAGCTTCAGTCTAGCACGCATCTATAGAGGATCGTGGCCCTGGACCCACGGGAAGCTGCACAGAAGCCCGATTTCGGCACACCACTCTCCAGGATCGTGGCCCTGGCACCACAGGGAGCTCCACCGAAGCTCCATTTCGGAACACACCTCTCGAGGATCGTGGCCCTGGCCCAACAGGGAGCTCCACCGAAGCTTCATTTCGGCATACCCCTCTGGAGGATCGTTGCCCTGGCCCCACAGGGAGCTCCACCGAAACTTCATTTCGGTACACCCCTTTCGAGGATTGTGGCCCTGGTCCCACAGGGAGCTCCGCCGAAGCTTCATTTCGGCACACCCCTCTCGAGGATCGTGGCCCTGGCCCCACAGGGAGCCCCAACGAAGCTTCATTTCGGCACACACCCCTCTCGAGGATCTCGCCCCTGGCCCCACAAGGAGCTCCACCGAAGCTTCATTTCGGCACACCCCTATCGAGGATCGCGGCCATGGCTCCGCAGGGAGCTCCGCCGAAGCTTTATTTCGGCACACCCTTTTTGAGGATCATGGCCCTGGCCCCACAGGGAGCTCCACCGAATCTTCATTTCGGAACAAATCTCTCGAGGATCGTGGCTCTGGCCCCACAAGGAGCTCCAGCGAAACAACATTTCGGCACACCCCTCTCGAGGATCGTGGCCCTGGCCCCACAAGGAGCTCCACCGAAGCTTCATTTCGGTACGCCCCTCTCGAGGATCGTGGCCCTGGCCCCACAAGTAGCTCCAGCGAAGCTTCATTTCGGCGGACACCTTTAGAGGATCGTGGCCCTGGCCCCACAGGGAGCCCCACCGAAGCTTCATTTCGGCATACCCCTCTCGAGGATCGTGGCCCTGGCTCCACAGGGAGCTCCACCGAAGCTTCATTTCGGCAACACCCTCTCGAGGATCGTGGCCCTGGCCCCACAGGGAACGCCATCGAATTTTTATTCCGGTACACCCATCTTGAGGATCGTGCCCCTTGGCCACACAGGGAGCTCCCTGGCCCAACAGGGAGCTCCACCGAAGCTTCATTTCGGCACACCCCTCTCGAGGATCGTGGCCCTGGCCCCACAAGGAGCTCCACTGAAGTTTGATTTCGGCACGCCCCTCTCGAGGATCGTGGACCTGGCCCCACAGGGAATTCCACCCAAGCTTCAGTTCGGCATACTCCTCTCGAGGATCGTCGCCCTGGCCCAACGGGGAGCTCCAGCGAAACAACATTTCGGTACACCCCTCTCGAGGATCGTGGCCCTGGCACCACAGGGAGTTAATCCGAAGCTTCATTTCGGCACACCCCACTCGAGGATCGTGGCCCTGGGCCAACAGGGAGCTCCACCGAAGCTTCATTTCGGCATACCCCTCTCGAGGATCGTGGCCCTGGCCCCACAGGGAGCTCCACCGAAACTTTATTTCGGTACACCCCTTTCGAGGATTGTGGCCCTGGTCCCACAGGGAGCTCCACTGAAGCTTCATCTCGGCACACCCTTCTCGAGGACCGTGGCCCTGGCCACACAGGGTGCTGGACCGACGCTTCATTTCAGCACACCCCTTTGCTGATCTTGGGTTTGGCCTCGCAGGGAGCTCCGCCGAATCTTCCTTTCGACACACACACACACACACCTATCGAGGATCCTGGCCCTGGTCCAACAGGGAGCTCCACCGAAGCTTCTTTTCGGCACACCCCTCTCGAGGATCGCGGCCCTGGGTCTCGCAGGGAGCTCCACCGAAACCGCATTTCGGCACACCCCTCTCAACGACGACGGCTCGTAGACAACCCACAGCCCAACGGCTGCAGACAGCTTGAAGACGGCCGATGCACGGCGAGATTCGGTGAGAACTTGGTTAGGGTGGATAGGTCCCCCCTTCGGGCCTCCTCCGCCAGGAGGAGGAGGAGGAGGCAGGAGGAGGCGGAGGAGGAGGAGGCGGAGGAGGAGGAGGAGGACTCCCCCAAACGAAAAAGGGATGGATTGTAGTAGAGCTGGACCCACCAGTAATAGGATTGTAGTAGAACTGGATCTGGATCCACCACTAATAGGATTGCAGTAGAGGTGGATCCACCACTACTAGGATTGTAGTAGAGGTGGATCCACCACTAATAGGATTGCAGTAGAGCTGGATCCACCTCTAATAGGATTGTAGTAGAGGTGGACCCACCACTAATACGATTGTAGTAGAGGTGGATCCACCACAAATAGGAATGTAGCAGAAGTGGATCCACCACTGATAGGATTGTAGTAGAGGTGGATCCACCACTGATAGGATTGTAGTAGAGGTGGATCCAGCAGTAATTGGATTGTAGTAGAGGTGGATCCAGCAGTGATAGTATTGTAGTAGAGGTGGACCGACCAGGAAACAGGATTGCAGTAGAGCTGGATTCATCAGTAGTAACATTGTAATAGAGCTGGATCCACCTAAGGATCCGAGAGGGCTCCGTAGATTCCGGAGTTTCGCTGGTGCAGACACGGCAAAATGGTATGGAGGATGAGTCCACACCCTTAAGCGAGCGAATTCGCCAGCGGAGCAGGGAACGGAGTCCCAGGTTGCTGCTTGCTGGTTGCTGGTTGATGGTTGCTGGGGGGGGTCCGTACCGGCCAATGGGGCACAGACGCGCGGTTCCACCTTAGGGAAGAACGCGGGGAACGAGGTTTGGGACCATGGGGCACTCACGCGCGGTTGTTCCTTGTTGTTGTTGGTCGTGTTGGTGTTGTTGTTGTTGGTGGTGTTGTTGTCGTTGTTGTTGTTGCTGCTGCTGTTGTTGTTGGTGGTGTTGTTGTTGTTGCTGTTGTTGTTTGTTGTCGTCGTCCCACCCGCGACCCACCCACGACCAACCCCGCGACCCACCCCACGAACCCATCCCGCGACCCACCCCGCGACCCACCCCGACCAACCCGCGACCCAACCCGCGATCCACCCGCGACCCACGCCGCGACCCATCCGCGACCCACCCGTGACCCACCCCGCGACCCACCCCGCGACCCACCCGCGACCAACCACGCGACCCATCCGCGACCCATCCGCGACCCACCCGCGACCCACCCCGCGACCCACCCGTGACCCACCCCGCGACCCACCTTCAAGGGAGGAAAGGTCACCCTGACTCGACAATTGACTGTTTGAAACGGCTTTGAGCGTTGACTAAACAGCCCTTCCTTGTTCGATTCATTCTTTGTGTGCGTTTACTACACGGCTTCGTTTGCCGGGGTGATTACCATGAGGTGTATTCTGCCCTCTACACCCGCGACCCACCCGTGATCCACCTGAGACCACCCGCGACCCATTTGCGACCCACCCGCGACCCTCCTGATACCTACCCACATTGGTTTAACGAAAAAAATTGCGCCTGCGGCGGGCTCGTTGCATAATTTGTAAAATTGTGGCGCCTGCGGCGGTCTTCTCCAGAGTTTCGCAAACTGCCGACGTCACCACCGCCCCCTCACTCTTATCCGCATCTGCGGGGTGTCACGGTATAACACGCGAAACAGCATGCTTCAGAGCATTCGTACCTACGTAGCGCACACTATTGCAGAGTCGCACGCAGCTGAATTGAAAACCATTCGAACGATGACTTGGTGAAGATTTTGCGAAGAGATTTGTTCTCTGGACCATGCACCTGTCAAGGCACGACAGGCGATAATGCGACTGGAACGAGCAGCGCGCTACGTCCTTGCAGATATTAGAGGTTGCAAGCATCACTTGCGTCATTCAAGTGAGAACCCGATTCTAGAACCCAGCCGCATTTTTGTCCGTGCTACTGCTGGATCTGCGAGTCTGGCCATGGGATGCGAAAGGGGTCTCAGGCGAAACGCATGGCTCGCTCTCCTGGCCCGCCTTCCGTTTCGACGAGGAGTGCGATTTTGGTTTGAAGGGTCAACACATGGAGGTTTAGGCTAAGTTCCGACAACGCACGAATGCTTAAAGCCGGCGTTCGCCGAGAGGGAGAGGTGGACTAGAGGCCCCTTCGCCAGATCGATATGTTCCCCAGCCGTTCCGACGCTGTGGCCGGGAAGGCACGGGTGGGTGAGCGGGAAGAGGCTAGTATTCTTCGCGGAGCATTCTGTCATGGAGACCCGCGATGCCCCGCAACCTCCTTTGCAATGCTTGGCCTTGGTCGAAGAGAGGTGTGGGGGGGGCGATGAGGATGGGCCGAGATGGGTGTGGGGATGCGGAGAAGGAGCTAAAGAGGTGGAGGTGGCGCACAGCCTGCGCCACGACCGAGCCCGGGGTGGAGGGCGTCGGCGGCCGCCTTGCCGAGGCAAACGACGAGAAGTACATTTCGCAGGTCACGACCGAGCTCGCCGAGAAGAAGGCGGAGTGGGAGGAGCTCGGCCCAGTCTGAAATTCTTCTCTTAGGCCCTCGCGTACAACGATCAGTTTTAGCTACCACCGTACACAACACGCAATCCGTAGCGTGTTGACACGGAGGTCAACACTGATATTGACAATTCAAGTTTGGCGCGATGCATTCGCCAAGCCGTGGGCCAACACGTTGAACCAACACGCAGCGTGTTAACACGGTCGTGTTCGACACGGTACGTGTTGCGTCACGGGCGTATCGGGACAGTTGAGCGAAAGAATGCAGCAAGCGTTGTTTCATTGTGTTTGGCCCGCTTTTGACACCCGGGACTGTCAGACAAGTTCTCAGGACGGAGAGCCAGTTTGAGGAAACGGGTTCAAACCTCTAGCGGCCACACGTCGCAACAAGCATTGCAATTCCCGGGATGTTTGGGTTGTGCTGGCACCGCTTAGGGGCCCGAGGCGCGCGGTGGCCATGGGGTCACGAGCAGATAGGGGGCGGCAGCTTTCCCGCGCTGACCCCCTTGCTCTCCTCGCCGAGGAGCGCTCCCGGGTCCGCTACGGCGAGATCGGGGCGATCAGCAAGGCCATCGAGATCCTGCACAACGACGGCGCCCGCGACCTGTTCAAGAAGTCCCTGTCGTCTCAGGCGGCCTTTCTTCGGGGAGCGACGAATGACATAAACATAACAACTCGGAGGTCCGCGCGGATTTCTCGGATCGGCGCTGGAACCCCCTGGCGGCGCCGCCGGCGCCGCCCACTGCATGCGGACCCTGCCACTGGGGCTTTGGGTGGAGCACCCGATTGGGCCACGAAATGTGTGAGGGGTGCGCCGAAGTAGGCATGCGAGAGAGCAGAGGCAGGGAGGGGAGGAGGAAGGAGGGGGAGGTGGAGGAGGAGCGGGAATGCGGCGCGCTGACTTGTCAAACGATGACCCAACACCACAGGATGGTTTGGAATTCTCTTGGCGAGGGACCCAACCATATGCCGCTGTGAGTAACGCGTTGTGGGTGCCGCTTCCCGTGGGCCACGCAACGCGTGATGGGGTGTGCGGTAATGGGTTGGGGGGACGCATGCGGGCGGTCCCATTGGGCCCTTCGGTGGAGCTCCCTGTGCGGCCACGACGCGCTGTAGTGTGCTGTGGGGTCGCATGCGGGCGGTGCCACTGCGGCCATCGGTGGAGCCCCCACATGGGGCCGCGAAACACTGCACCGGGTGGGGGGGGCCACTGAGACCTTCGCTGGAGCTCCATATGGGACCACGAAACGGTGTAATGGTTGGGGGGGCGCATGCGGGCACCCCCACTGGAGCTTTCGGTGGAGCCCCTCATGGGGCCACGAAGCGCTGTACTGAGTGTGGCGGCCGCATGCGGGCACCCCCACTGGGGCCTTCGATGGAGCCCCCTATGGGGCCACGAAACGCTGTATTGTGTAGGGGGGGGTCGCATGCGGGCACCCCCACTTGGGCCGTCAGTGCTCCCTTTGGGGCCCCAAGACGCTGTATTGGGTGGGGGGGACGCATGCGGGCGGTAGCACTGGGGCCGTCGGTGGAGCTCCTTACGGGGCCACGGAACAGGAAACGCTGTATTGCGTGGGGGGGCGCATGCGGGCACCCCCACTGGAGCTTTCGGTGGAGCTCCCTATGTGGCTACGAACCGCTGTACTGGGTGAGGGCGACGCACGCGGGCGCCCCCACTGGGGCCGTCGGTGAAGCCCCCTTATGGGGCTACGAAACGCTGTATCGTGTAAGGGGGGGTTCGCATGCGGGCATCCCCACTTGGGCCGTCGGTGGAGCTCCCTTTGGGGCCCCATGATATCACTCGGCGGTGGCTAGGGCTGGTCCTGAGATTGTGCTCCTGAGGCACAGGCAGTAGTTGTCGTAGTCGCAATCGTAGTCGTGGCTGTCGTTGACGTTGTTGCGCGGCGGGTGCTTCTGACAAAAGATAGTTTTTCCCTATTGGTGGGACCCCTGTCCTTCAAGAAGGCTGCCGCAAACCTAATTAGTTACCCCCTATTTTAGGGGGGTCCGAAGACTTCTCGCGGTTATCGAAAACCCTCGATCGCTCCGGGTTGAGCGATCCGCGGAGAAGGAGGAGCACCTCCTCTTTTGCGAGGCGGCGCTGTCTTGGATTCGAGCGCGAGGCTGGCGCAGCCGTTCTTAGAGAGCCCACAAAAGGACAGACGCGCCCAACCACGTACATGAGCAGGGCCACCCCTCAGTCCGCGAGGCCAGCCTCACGATACGAACGCTCGCGCAATGCACACCTTCGGCACCAACGCGGATTTCCATGTACGCGCACGCCCTCCTTTCGCTCGGGAGTCATGGCCCCGAGGGGGAACCTCCGAGGACCCGCAGAGCGCCAGCAGATGCCGGCGCTGGCGCTGCCGCGGCGCGCGCCCGCCACGCGCCCCGCACGCCTTGCGTGCGGGGGGCGTCCGACCCCCCGCAGCAATGTGCGCGGGGCCACGGCTCGGCTCTGTGGGGCGCCCTCCATTCGGGGGGGGGGGGCGGGCGGCGCGCACGACAGGGGTGCTGGGGGGAGGGGCGGAGGGTTTCTCAGAAGCACCCCTGCATCTTGGAAGGCGCGTTCTTCGCCTGTAGATGTGAGCCCGCGCCCTCTAAGAAGCAGCCTCCTTCTAAGAAGGCCCCCCCCCTTTTAGAGGGGGGGGGGGGGGCAGGGGGAGGGGGGAAGGCTTGTGAGAAGCACCCCTGCTTCTTGTCAGGCGATCGCAAACATGGATCAAGGGGGCGCGGATTAGCGACGGTTCCCGTTTCCATGGGAGATCGCGGGCTTCCGCCGCCGAGCGAGGCGGCACCGGCCGCAGTTTGGGAGGGCACCTCCCCCGGTCCATGGATTTGGCGACCGCGCGTCAAATCCATGGATCGCTGATCCATGTTTGGGCGCCCCCGATGCTCACTCAGTTCCTTGCCTGCAAATAGAAGGCCCGCGCCTTCCAAGAAGCAGGGGTGCTTCTAAGAGGCCTTCCCCCCCCCTCCCCCTCACCCTTGTTGTGCGCGCCGCCAATGGGGCGCCCCCGTGGCGGCGCCGCTCGCCGCAGCGCGCGCCCTCTTCGGCAGGCTGCGGAGGCCCCCCTCGCGGGAAGCAGCACGGGGCCCACGACGCACAATGTCGGCGGCGAGCGCGGGGGGGAGAAGGAGAAGGCCTGCTCAAAGGAGGCGGTGCTTCTCGGAGGCCCTCGCGCCTCCTGAGAAGTGTTTTTCCTCCTCCTCCTCCTGCTCCTCCTCTTCCTCCTCCTCCTCCTCCTCCTCCTCCTTCTCCTCCTCCTCCTCTTCCTCCTCCTCCTCCTCGTGTCTTCGGGGAAGGCTGCGACGCTTCTCGGGAGGCCGGGGGGGGGCTTCCGAGCCTGCTGAGAAGGCCCGCCCCTTCTCACGTCCCCCTGGGCTCGCCGCCTAAGCATGTCGCGGGATCTTGTTGGCGCCGATCTGAGTCATGGTCAATGCCCGCTGTCGCCGATCTGCGAGGCTGATCCACGAACTGTCGCCGACGTGCCGCATTCAGTCTTGGCCGTGGTCGCCGTGTGTTTCCCCTCTACGCCTTCCTGGTGGCAGGGCGAGCTTCTGCTGCAGCGGTGGTGTCTTTACACTCGGCGGCGCGCCGGAGGGGGGAGTGAGAGTGGGCGGGCCTTCCCTCGGTATCGTTTAACCGATCCCCATCCCCATCCCCATCCCCATCCCCTTCGAGACCCCCACTAAATTACCACCCCAGTTGGGGATATACCCCTCGAAACCCGAAGGGAACGACCTCTATCCCCATCTAGTGGGGTAAATCGGCCATTGGGGCCCGTGCGACGCCGCTGGGGATGGGGATCGGTTGAACGATACTCATTCCCAGTCTGAGAAGCCGTCTCTGTCCTCCAAGAAGGCCCAGAAAGCTGCTCAGACGGCCGGAGGACTTCTGAGCCTGCCGCAGCGGCACTGCTCACACGCCCTCGGAGGTGCACCCGGTGGGGGGCCGCTGGGCTGCCGTTGCTGAGGAGGAAAGGCCAACATGGATGAGGGCGCGTGGATGAGCGACGGATCTCGATTTCCCCGCTCTGAGTGGCAAGCTCAGGCAGCACTGGCCTCATACTTCGGGCGCGTGTCTTCCCCGATCCATGGATCTGGCCGCCAGCGCGCCAGATCCAAGGATCCCCAGCGTGTGCCCGACGTCGGGAGGCCGCCGGGCTGCTGCTGCTGCTGCTGCTGCTGCTGCTGCTGCTGCTGCTGCTGCTGCTGCTGCTGCTGCTGCTGCTGCAGCGTTGGGGTGCACCGACGCAGTGTCATCACCACGTGCGGCTGGCCGCAAGGGTGCCACTCACGATTCTTCGTCTTCGGCGCCCCTGGCCCGGGCTCTGCCTGGGGCCCGCGAAGGTGCCCGCTCTTCTGGCTGCTCGTGATTGCCACTGCGCCATCGCCGGGCCGTCGTTACGCCAAGCTTCCTTTTGCTGGGCGGCGCCCCCACCACCACTACCAGATGTAGGAGAGGAACAGGAGGAGGAAGAGAAGGAGGAGGAGGAGGAGGAGGAAGCGACCTCCTAATCCTCCCTTCTCCCCCGACCTACATGTGGTAGTGGTGGTGGAAACTTGCCCATCAAAGGCGATGCTGTCGACCTCGGCGGCGGCGTCATCGCCCTCGGCCTCTGCAGAGCGGGTGCTGGCACCGCCGCAGTCCTCGGGCATGGGCCGACGTCCACGAGGGGGGCCGTGCTTGTCGGCTGAGGCCCCAGCTCCGCCACGGAGCCGCAACCGCGCCCCTTGGGCGCGCGCGCGTTCCCTCCGCAGCTCAAGGAGACGACCGCCGTGCCGCCGCCCCCGCCGCGGCCCCCCGACCGCGCCCCCTGGGCGCGCGCGTGCTCTTTTCCGCAGCTCCAGACGACCACCGCCGTGCCGCCGCCCCGCTCGCCCCCAGCCCCAGCTCCGCAACGGCCGCTTCCCCCCCCCCCCTCCCCTCTGGCGCCACGTGGGCGCGCGCGGAGCTGCCTGCGCGGAGGAGGGCGGCAGGGCTACCGCCCTGCCTTCCGTCCTCGAGGCAGACACCCACGTGAGCAGGGCAGTGCAAGTGCCTTGGTTCGTCTTACATACGTCCACGGTTTGTGTTGTTGTGTTTGTTATGGCTGTTCTTTCTGATGAAAACAGTTTTCAACTAGGCGTAATGAGAATAAGGTTTCGCGCTTCTTCTAAGGTTCCCCAAGAAAGCTAAACCAACGCGAAACAAAGCGATGCATTGTTGCTTGTGTTCCGTGTTTAGTTGCCTCAGATCAGTTGGTTGCGTTGTTTAACATTGCCGTCTAAGACGTCCATCTCTTCCTTCTTCTGGCGCGCAGGAGGAGGAGGAGGAGGAGGAGGTGGAGGAGGAGGAGGAGGAGGAGGTGGAGAGACGGAGGAGGAGGAGGAGGAGGTGGAGGATGGAAGACGATTGAAAGGATATGCCACAGGGACGGAGAGCTTGCGTGGCCCTACTTTCTCCTGCCCTCCCCCCCAAACAACTTTCCACGTTTTGAGTCGGCGCGGAGGAGCTTCAGGCGCGGTCTGCAGGTGGAGGTCCCCCCCCATGTACATAAACACACATACACGTACACACACCAACACACCAACACCCGCACCGACACACACATATATATATATATATAGATATATATATATATACACACACGCACACGCACGCACGCACGCGCACGCACACGAACACGCACACGCACACGCACACGCAAGCGCACACGCACACGCACACGCACACGCACACGCACACGCACGCGCACGCGCACGCGCACGCGCACGCGCACGCGCACGCGCACGCGCGCACGCGCATGCGCACGCGCACGCACACGCGCACGCACGCGCACGCGCACACGCACAGGCGCACAAACACGTACGCGTATGCGCACACGCACGCGCACACGCACGCGCACGCGCACGCGCACGCGCACGCGCACGCACCCGCACACGCACACGCACACGCACACGCACACACACACAAGCACACACACACACACTAAGACACCGACACATACGCACAGCACATACCACACACACGCACACACTACGCACAACACACACACACAACACGCACAACGCACACACACACACACACACACACACACACACACACACACGCACGCACACACACACACACACAGGCACACTAAGGCGCCGACACATACACACAGCGCATACCACACGCGCACACTACGCACAACACACACACACAACACGCACAACACACACACACACACACGCACACCACACACAGACGCACACCCACACACACACACAAAACGCTCCCCCGAAAAAAAACAGTTTGGCGCTTGGACCCTTCCCTCCGTCCTCGCTGCTGCCGGCTGAGAAAGATGCATCAGGAAAACGTGTCCAACACGCAGGCATTGTGCTCCTTGCCCCACCCCCCATCCCGTAGACATCTTGGCTCAGGTCACGTGTCTCGAAGTGTTTCGATATAAAGTCTGCAGCCCAGCTTCGCTAAAGCGCTGGACGGCATCGATAACGTAGTCACGAGTGTAGAGCGTGCTCAGTGTTCAACAAGCATCGTCATCGTCATCGTCATCGTCATCTCGGACAGGGCTACTTCTTCCTGCAGACGGGCCAGCACTCGACCATGCACGACGCCTCTGACGCGCTCCGCTCGCTGGCGAGGAGCACCGACGGGCGGGGCGCTGGAGGAGGAGAAGGAGGAGGAGGAGGAACAGCAGGAGGAGGGAGAGGAGGGGGGGAGGATGGGGGAGGGGGAGGGAGTGGGAGGGGAGGAGGACGAGGGGGGAGGAGAAGGAGAGGGGAGGGGAGGGGGATGAGGAGGAGGAGGAGGATGAAAAGAGGAGGAGGAGGAGCAGGAGGAAAAGGAGGGAGAGGGAGGAGGAGGAGGAGAGGAGGAGGAGGAGGAGGAGATGACGAGGATGACGAGGGGGAGGTGGATGAGGAGAATGAGGAGGGGAGGAGGCGGAGGAGGATGAGGAGGAGGAGGAAGAAGAGGTGGAGGAGGACAAGGAGGACCAGTCGAAACCCAAGAGTCATCAACGATCTTGGAATGAACCCTCCCTCCAAGCTCCCTGTTCAAAGGCCCCTACAACGGTTCATTTCCACAGGAACTGCCTCGTGGGACGACAACCGTTTGAAGACATTGAAGCGTGCCAAAACAATGTTCTCGGGATTCCAACGCCACGGATCCGTATCAACCTGACTGTTACGTCTTGACGGTCCTGAATCGCGCCAGAACGCCATCCCTTTGACTTCAACGCAGCGTAGTAACGTAACTGTCAAGCCCTCAGTATCCGGAGTCCTTCCAAAAACACGATGGGGACGAGGAGGAGGAGGAGAAGAGGAGGAGGAGGAGGAGGAGGGAGGAGGACAATGGCGAGTTTGGGAGCCTCTTGGGCAGTCTTGGGGGCTTCTTGGCGGTCCCGAGGGCCTCTTGCGTAACTCGGGGAGCTTCTTGGGGCCTCTTGGGGGTCTCTCGGGAGCCTCCTGGAAGCCTCTTGAGCGCCTTTTGGGGCCTCCTTGGCGCCTCTTGGAAGCCTCTTGGAGTGCTCTTGGGAGCATTCGAGGCGCTCTGGGGGCCATTTTGGAGGACATCGATTAAAGAAGGGGATGGCCGCAATTCGCGCTGCCCCTCGGGCGCCCCCAACATAGCCTCTTAGAGCGCTCTTGGAGCGCTCTTGGGCGCTCTTGGGGACGTCTTGGGGCCCTCGTGGGCCATCTTGGAGCCATCTTGAAGCCTCGGAAGGCTATCGAGAGCGAACGGGCGACAATGCAACAATCATTGGTTTTCCTTAGGTGGTTGAAGAAGTTCGGCCTCTTGGAGGCCTCCTTGGATGTCTCGGAGGCTTCTTGGAGCCGTCTTGGGGCGGTCTTGGGTTGAGGTCATCTTGGGCTCTCCGAGGCGCTCTCTGCGCCGTCTTTGAAAAACAAATGTACCCTCTGACACCTCGCCGCCCCCCCCGGCCAGGTCCAGGGTAGGGGGTAGGGGGGAGGGGTCAAGACACTCTCTCCGCACGCATGCTGTCTAGCTCACTCCCACCCGACCTCCCACCACATAAGTGGCATCCGAGTCTCGGCATAGCCAGGGGTCGCCACTGGATGGACAGCCACTGGGAACCAGAGACGCCAGGTCCGCGACGCTCGCCGCGGGCTCCACATGCGGTAGGTGTGCCATCCTTGCAGAAAACGTGATGGCCCCCCGTCCGCATGGTCCAGATGCTGATGTGGGGAGCGTCAGCATTGTTCTGGGCCTGCGCACGGCAAACATCATCATGCGGGCACCACCGCCGTCCCTGTCAAAAAACAATGCAAAGTGATCGCGGTTGGCCAGCCCATTACCCACGACGTTGTCGCAACGTGCACTTTGCATGGTTTTTGACACGGATGGTGGTCCTGCACAAAGCGGCTTCTCTAAGGGTGCCCCGCCATCCTTGTCAAATTGTCACCACCAGTGCGCTGCCCAGATTGTGCTGCAATGTGCACTTCGCATTATTTTGTAAAAAGGATTGTAGAGGGTGTTGGCAGGGTGGCCCCTGCAATGTGGATTTCGTATTGTTTTTGACAGGAATGGTGGGGGGCCCTCATGGTGTGCGGATGGTTCGGGGTTGGCTGCCCGCCGGGCGGGAGAGGGGTTGTTCCCAACCATCCTGTGGTGTTGGGTCCTCGTTTTGGAGAGACAGCGCCCCGCGTCCCTCCTTCCCATATTTATTCTCTGTTTGTATTTTTTTTTTTTATCTTTATTTTTTGGTTTTTTGCCGAAGAATTGTGCTGGCTTGTATTATCTTTTTTCATTTCCCTTGTTTGTTTTTTTTTTGATTTTGCAGTTTGGTCCTGGTTTGCTATTTTCTATTTTTTTTCTATTTTGTTTGTTTTTTTCGTTTTTTTTTTTTTGTTTGCTTTCTGTTCTGCAATATTGCCTAACGTTGCTCTTTTTTTGTTTTCTTATTATTTTTGTCTTATAATTTGGCAATGTGCACTTCGCATATTTTGTAAAAAGGTTGTAGAGGTGTTGGCCACGGTGGCCCCTGCAATTTGGATTCAATCGTTGTATTGTTTATTGACATGGATGGTTTGGAGGGGCCCTCATGTGTGCGGAGGTTAAATCTTTGTTTTATTTTTTGTTTCTTTTTTTTTATTTTATCTTTTTTTCTCTTTTTTAAATTTCTCTTTTGCCCAGATGTGTCCGTGGTGTTCTTATTACTTTTTTGTTTTTTTTTTTTTCTTTTTTTTGCATTATCATTTTTTTTTTTTTTTTTTTGGCAATGTGCACTTCGCATTATTTTGTAAAAAGGATTGTAGAGGGTGTTGGCAGGGTGGCCCCTGCAATGTGGATTTCGTATTGTTTTTGACAGGAATGGTGGGGGGCCCTCATGGTGTGCGGATGGTTCGGGGTTGGCTGCCCGCCGGGCGGGAGAGGGGTTGTTCCCAACCATCCTGTGGTGTTGGGTCCTCGTTTTGGAGAGACAGCGCCCCGCGTCCCTCCTTCCTCCCGCTGCCTCCTCCCCCTCCTCCCTCCTCCCTCCTCCATTTCGGCACACCCCTCACACGTTTCGTGGCCTCATTGGGAGCTCCGCCGAAGGTCCCAGTGGGTGTGCCCGCATGCGTCCCGCACACCCATTTCGGCACACCCCTCACACGTTTCGTGGCCCCACAGGGAGCTCCGCCGAAGGTCCCAGAGGGTGTGCCCGCATGCGTCCCGCACACCAATTTCGGCACACCCCTCACACGCTTCGTGGCCCCATGGGGAGCTCCACCGAAGGCCCCCGTGCCGCCGCCCGCATGCGCCCCGCACACCCATTTCGGCACACCCCTTCACACGTTCCGTGGCCCCACAGGGAGCTTCGCCGAAGGTCCGAGTGGGTGTGCCCACATGCGTCCCGCACACCCATTCCGGCACACCCCTCACACGTTTCGTAACCTCATAGGGAGCTCCACCGAAGGTCCCAGTGGGTGTGCCCGCATGCGTCCCGCACACCCATTTCGGCACACCCCTCACACGTTTCGTTGCCCCATAGGGAGCTCCACCGAAGGTCCCTGGGTGCGCCCGCATGCGTCCCGCACACCCATTTCGGCACACCCTTGACGCGCTTCGTGGCCCCATAGGAAGCTCCACCGAAGGTCCCAGTGGGTGTGCCCGCATGCGTCCCACACACAGATTTCGGCACACCCCTCACACGTTTCGTGGCCCCGTTGGAAGCTCCACCGGAGGTCCCGATGGGTGTGCCCGCATGCGTCCCGCACACCCATTTCGGCACACCCCTTCACACGTTTCGTGGCCCCATACGGAGCCCCACCGAAGGCCCCAGTGCCGCCGCCCTCATTCGTCCCACACACCCATTTCGGCACACCCTTGACGCGCTTCGTGGCCCCATAGGGAGCTCCACCGAAGGTTCTCGTGGCGCAGTCCGCATGCGCCTCCCCCACCCAGTACACCTCCGTCGGAGGCCGTCGGAGTTCCGCGCCTCGCTCGCCCGTCGTCGCTCTGCCCAGCGGCAAGAGCCTTGCCCGTTATCAGCCAGCCAGCTAGCTTTTTTTGCTGCGCGCAGCGGACGACCCGCGCGCGTCGCTGGGACCCCTTTGGGGCGACCTGCGCGCGTCGTTGGGACTCCGCGCTGCGCTGCGCCCGCAGCCTTGGACTTTTGAGTGCGCGGGCAAAGAAGGAGCAAAAGAAGGGGAGGACGCGGGCGCGATCCTCGCGGTGGCGTCGCGGCGCGCGGGCGATGCCGCCGGGGAGTCCCAGGGAAGCTCCTTGCGGCGGCCACGCCCAGCGTCACGTTTACTCAGAGGCAGTCCTTCTCAAACTATTGACATTCATATACATTGCACCATGCTGTGTCATACTCGCATTCATGCACGTAGACTCGCTCGCACGCAGATTCATTCACAGTCAGACGCACTCGCGCTCAGATTCACCCGCGCTCAGTCTCCCTACGTACTCGGGTCAATCGTTTCCGTTCGCGTTGTGTACCACGCCACTCATTTCGGCACACCCCTAGCACGGTTCGTTGCCTCATAGGGATCACCACCGAAAAAGGGAATCACAATTGCAGTGCTCACACCTGCACGTGGTTGGGTCCTTCGTCCGGCTATTTTTTAAAATAGGGAACAGTGACAAACCCCTCCCCGAAGGGGAAAAAGGGGGCTGGAAAAGGAACCTTCCTCAACCACCTACGCTCAGACGGCAGGTGGGGATTTTGGAAGCGAATGGGCGCGGCGCGAAGGCGAAAACCACATTTTGAAAACCACCCGCCCTCCATGTGTCAAATTGTCATGTGTAAAACTTCAGGGTCATAAATGGCGAGGAGCTCTCGGACGAAACACCCGACCCGCCTTACAAATTTGCGTCGGATTGCGACAGGGAAAAGTAGGTTATTCACCAGGAGAGGAATGGAAACGGCGGGGGAGGAGAAGGAAGAGGAACAGCAGGAGGAACAGCTGGAGGAGGAAGAGGAGGGGGAGGAAAGGGGGAGGAGGGGAGGAGGACGGAGTGGAGTAGGCGCGCGGGGGGGGGAAAGGAGGACGGGTGGGGAGGGGGGGAGGAGGAAAAGCAGGATGACGAGAGGAGGACGAGAGGAGGAGGAGGATGAGGAGGAGCAGGAGGAGGAGGAGCAGGAGGAGGAGGAGGAGGAGGAGGGGAAGGAGGAGGAGGAGCAGGAGGAGGAGGAGGACGAGATGGGAGGGCCGACCAGGAAGAAGAGTCCGGCTAGGCCACGCTGGGACGCCGCAGGGGCAGGAGGCGATGGCCGGCGACCGCGCGCGTGCAAGAGGGTGTCCCCGCCTCGGCCCCCTGCTCCCGCTCCCGATGCCGTGGCTCCCAGACGGGGAGGAGCAGCGGGAGGAGGCGGACGAACGCGATCGGCAGGAGGCCGAGGGGTGGAGCAGGAGAAGGAGGCCGAGGGGTGGAGCTTGATGCGCTTAGCTGCCCTGATACGCCCGCTCTGCAACGCACTACGCACCCTGCTCAAGCTGTCCGTGTGAACGCGGTGCGTGTTGGCTCGGCGTGGTGGCCCACTTTCTGGCCAGTATATCGCGCCACACGTATGTTTTCGATTTCTTTGTTGAGCACCGCGTCAACACACGCTACGGGTTGCTTATTTCGTGTTGGGGAAGCTAAATTCTCTAAGCTTACAACCAACCGCAGCCCTCAGCCCTCAGCCGCCACACTCCTCCCTCTCCTCCCTCCAGTGGCCAGTCGCAGTGCCGTCGCCGTTTCGTCGTTCCTTTCCCCCCCTCCACCTCCAGGGGTTTCTGGGGTGCCTAGCACACCTGGGGTCTGCTCGCCGTTTGTGGTTTCTCGACTTCGCCGCTTTATGTTGCAAGGTAACTACTTTGATCCCCCGCCCCCATGGGGCGACCACCCCTTGGTGGTTGGGGGGGGGCAGCATCCCCTGCCTTCGGATTCAGGTGCCAGCAGCGTCGGCACCAGGAGGAGGAGGAGGAGGAGGACCAGTCGGGGACGGAGACAGGGGGGCATGGAGGATAATGGGGGGAGAAGACGAGCACGTGGAGGAGGAGGAGGAGGAGGAGGAGGATATCAGTGAGGAGGACGATGTAAAGGATGAGGGCGGGGGGTCAATCATAAGGAAGCATGGCGAATGGTGAGGGAGGAGAGGGCGAGAGGGAGAGAGAGGCTTCGGTCGGGAACACAAGGAAGCGAGAGAGAAGGAGAGAAAGAGAGAAAGAGAGAAAAGACTGAGACTGGGACTGAAACTGAGACTGAAACTGAGACTGGGACTTGGACTGGGATTGAGAGAGATACACGGGCACAGGTAGACACATAGACAGGTACGTAGGGAGGGAGTGAGGGAGAGAAGGAACGAGAGCGAGAGAACTGGAGATAGAGAGAGAGAGAGAGAAAGAGAGAGAGAGAGAGAGAACAAACAAAAAAAACGGTCTGGAGGGGGGGTGAAGTGTCGAGGAAACTTTCCGCAAGGATGAGGTAAGGACGGATAGAGGTACGTAGGGTGGGTTTTTGTGGCCACGCTGGTGTTCCAAGTGTTCCATTCTCCCTTCGTTGCTCGCTGCCTTCCCGGTCCGCCCGCCTCTGATCTTTTCCCTCCCGGGTCCTGGCATTCTTGGTCTCGGTGTCTGCCTTCGCCTGCTCTTGCGATGCGGGTTGCTGGGGATACTTCGAGTGCCTGCGCACCAGGACGGAGGAGGGAGAGGACGCAGCGAGAGCAGGTCAAGGAGAAGGGGGGATGAGGGAGGGACCAACAGGAGGGAGGAGGGAGAGTCGAGAGGCTGAGGACGGAGGCTGAGGCTGGAGGTCGGAGAGATGGCTGGAGGGAGCAGGGAGATGGGAGGTGGGACGAGGAGGAGTCGGAGGAGGGGGGGAGGAGGAGGAGGAGGAGGAGGAGGAGGAGGAGGAGGAGGAGGAGGAGGAGGAGGAGGAGGAGGAGGAGACAGGACGCAGCAAGCATAACACCTAATTTCCGCTCAACGCAAGAAAAAAGAGGAGGAGGAGGAGGAGGAGGCTGAGAAGGCTGAGGAGGAGGAGGAGGAGCTGCAGGACCAGCACGAGGAGGTCGACGAATGTGAGGGCGGCGACGACGACGACGAGGGGGGAGGCGGGGCTGGGCGAGGGGGGAGGACGGATGGAATCGCAGACGCACGGATGGCGGAATGTTGAGGACGAGCAGCAGCATGAGGAGGAGCAGAACTTGGCATCGTTCATGCGAGTGCAGTTTTTTTTCTGGACGAGGACCATCGAGGAGCATCCTGGATCATCGAGCAAAGGAAAGCACGCACGCAACCGAAACACGCAAAGGGGAACGGATGTCCGAGCGTCGGCAAGAGAAAGGAGGGGGCGAGGGAGGAGCGAGCGGGGGGCACGGGGGAGGATGGAGCAGGGAGCCCGACCGAAGGAGGAGGCAGCAGGTGCGAGGGAGGAGCGAGGCGCAGGGAGGGAGGCGGGCGGGAGGAGGGAGGAGGGAGGGGATCCCCTCCCCCCAGCCTCCTCTCCTGTCCTCGCCTCCGCCCTCCTGGCCCGTTCCCCCTTCTCGCTCGCTCCCTCGGTTCCTCCCTTTCCCCCCTTCAGCCCGGCTCTCTCACCTCCGGCTGGCGTGCCAGGCGCTCTCAGGTGGTCTGAATACAGCGGCTGTGCATCGCATCTTCGTTCTCTGCGGGCGGTTGAGCTCTCCCAGACCTGCCATAGAGAGAGAGAGAGGGGATGAAGGAGGACTGCTGAGGGAGGGCGGAGGAAGGAAGGACAGACGTTGTTGGGCGAATCGGGCTGGTCTGGCAGCGTGGCAGTCTTGGGAGAGCTCAGCCCCCCGCAGAGGGCGCAGGCGAAGGTAGGAGAGGAGGTGGGGGGAGGGGAAAGAAGAGATGGGGAGGAGGAGCCCGCCACCCGACGCCCCTCCCGCGCACTCGGCGGCCATGTGGGCAGGAGGACCAGCGATCCGCGCATCCTGGGGCTGGTGACCCAGATGCAGCTGGCGCCGGCATTCGGCAGCCTAGCGGACCGCTTCACGCCCATCATCGAGAAGATCGACTCGCTGGCGACCAGACCGCGGCCTTCGCTCCCTCGGCGGCCTCGGCCTCGCCCCGGCGGGTGGCGCGCGCGCGGCGCGCCGGCTTGGGTGGGCGGGGAAGCATCGAGGCGAAGGGCACGATGGCCATGCCCGGGATGCCGCGGGAGTCTGTCGGCGCCGATCTTGGTCGTGGCCCATGCTGGCCGTCGCCGAGTCGCGAGGATGATGGACGAATTGACGATGACCAAGATTCGAAGAAGGACAGCACGCCGTAAACATGAACGTTCGGCGCTCCGCGCGTATCTCTTGGATCCGCGCTGGGCCCCCCGCGTGGCGCCTCCGGCGGCGCCCCTGGCGCGCTCCAAGCGCCAGGGAGGGGACCACGGACAGATCCAGAGATCCAGTCTTGACTCTCGGTTTCTTCCCGTTTTGGGGTAACAGAGTTATTAACGTTTCCGGGATCGGAAGCTACTCCGCCGAATGGTCCCAGCATCATGTCATGTTAGGCATCTTGAGAGGGATGGAGTAGATATCCCTCGTAGCAAATTGAAGAAACTGTTGTCACGGCTGTGTGCCTCGACACTTCTGCGTTCCAGTCTTGCTTCTCGGTTCTTTCCCGACCGAGGGTGGGAGACCTGTCCTCTCCTCGAGCCTCTTCTCCCCGGCCAGGCCACCCAGCCTCCAATCTCCTCCTCCTTCTGCCCTTTCTCCTCCTCCTCCCCCTCCTCCCCCTCCTCCTCGTCCTCCTCCTCCTCCTCCTCGTCCTCCTCCTCCTCGTCCTCCTCCTCCTTTTCCTCCTCCTCGCCCTCTCCTCCTCCTCTTCTCCTCCTCCTCCTCCTCCTCCTCCTCCTCCTCCTCCTCCTCCTCTCTTCCTCCTTATTTTCCTCCTCCCTCCTCTTCCTTTTCCTCCTCCTCTCCTCCTCGTCCCTCCTCCTCCTCCTCCTCTTCCTCCTCCTCCTCCTCCCCTCTCCTCCTCTCTCCTCCTCCTCCTGTTCCTCCTCCTCCTCCATCTCATCCTCCTCCTCCTCCTCCTCCTCCTCCTCCTCCTCCTCCTCATCCTCCCCTCATGCCATTGGCTTTCCGTAGCTCCAGGGGTGGCTGTTGTGCAGGACGCATCGGGCGCCGGCAGTGTCCCCCCAAGAGGTCTTGCGGTACAGTGAAAATTCATAGTGAGGACGGGTAGCCTTTCGAAGGGCACCCTTGCGTCCTTAGATTTCTGTCGGCAGTGCGCCGCTAGAAACGCTTCAACTGGGGCGTCCAAGGACCGTCCAATGACCGTCCAAGGGGGGAAGAGGATGAGGAGGAGGAGGAGGAGGCGGAGGAGGAGGAGGAGGAGGAGAAAAGGAGGAGGAGAATGAGGAGGAGGAGGAGGAGGAATACCCTTTCGTTTCCCTGCGTCCAGTCGCCCCCCCTCTGCTTGGATAGGCTGCGAGCTTATCAGGATTGCCCCCCTCTGCTTGGATAGGCTGCGAGCTGCTCAACAGGATGAGGAGGAGGAGGAATACGCAGGAGGAGGTTGAGGAGCAGGAGGATGGGTGGGGGGGAAGCGGGAGAGTGAGAGCAGTGTGAGCGCCCCTTCAGGTGACGATGATCGGGGAGGAAGAGGCGTCCGATCTGGCGAAGAAGGAGAGCTGCGAACAGACTCGCGCGTCTAACACGCGCGAGGCCATCAAGCTCTCCAGGGCGATCGACGAGGACTCCGACACCATGAGCCGGCTGACATCGGAGATCGAGCAGCTGGATCAGCAGATCACGGAGAACAACGAGGCGATCGAGGTGTCCCACCGTGCCCTGCGGGCCCGCCGTCTTCGCTCTCCTCCTAGCCGCGGCCGACCTCGCCACCCTGCCCCCACTGCTCCCCCTCGCCCCCACCCCTGGACGGGCCACCCTCTCCCGCCTGCCCCTCCCACCTCGAAGACGCTCTGGCTCCCCACGCCCCTCGTCCTCCCTCCTCTTCCAGAGTGGCCACAACTCCGTTTCCTTGTTTTGTTTTCTCTCTTTTGTTCTGTATGTATATATATACATCTATATATATATATATATATATAGATATAGCACTCCTCTACTTTCGCCATCGCGGTTCAGGTCGCTCCAGAAGCCTCTCTCGGTCCTTCCTCCTACGCCGCTTCCTCAGGGCACCCGGCGGCACCGCACACCCTTGAGGCACGGGCCCGCAGGAGATCCTCCGCTTCTGAGCTCGCCCGTGGGGGGGCCCGCTCTCCGCCCCGAGCCGCTGCTTGACGGCCCCCCGGGGGCCCAGACGCAGCCGATGCCAGGAGTGGCGAGCAACATGCCGCCTCAGGACGAGTGCGAGAGGAATTCCTCCTCCTCCTCCTGCTCCTCCTCATCCTCCTCCTCCTCCTCCTCCTTCTCCTCCTCAGATGCCCAGAGTGGCGAGCGCCCAGAGTTCAGAACCCGACGCCAGGGACCGCTGCAGCAGACCCCGGGGGCCCCCGGCATACCTCACGCAGTGCCTGCGGAGCGGCGGCAGACGTGCGTCGGAGGGTCCCAAGGGCGAGAGGATCTGGGGCGCGTGTGGATCTCACGGCGGGGGGCACGACATCTCCCGGGATTCCACCGCCTCGCGGCCATCTCTTCTTGTTCCGATACGTCCCACAGCACCCCCCCTGTCCGCGCACATTCCACGGCTCATGATGCAGGAGCCTCCACGTCTTGTAAGCCCCCGTCGTCGGCGCACTCCAAGGAAGGCGGCAGGGGCAATTCTAGGCCCACGCACGGTGTGGGACCAGAGATGTCCCTGGTTAGAGGTCTCAGTGAGTGCGCGGAGTATGAGAGTCGTGGGCAAGTGTGGTGCGTTGCGCAGGCATTAGTGTTGGAGGGCATGTTGGAGGGGCGGAACGCGTGCGAGATGGGCGACTGGATCAACGCGCGAAATGCGAATGCAACTCTCGGGGCTTTAGTGGGGGCGCCATGTTGGGGGAGCGCAATGCGTGCCATTCTCGGTCCCGGCGTCGACGCGAACGCAACCACTGTGGCATTGGCTGGGCGTTCGTCACCGTAGTTGGGGCTCCCTATGCGGACGCGAAGCGCGCGTGCGAGGTGGGACATTACGGGTCCACCGGCGGTGCGCGAGCCCAACCACGAGAGTCGGAAACGCGCGGGTGAAAATCGCGACCGCGGAAGTGCCCTAAGCCCACACAGAACCGAAGGCACGTGAGATGATCGAGTCTTGCCTCACGCGCAGTGCTCAAGCGCGAGCGCGGCCAGCTTTGGCTGGGAAGGCCCGTGGGACTGCAAACCGTGCCCGGGATGGATCATGTTGGGCTGTCGTGTTGCATGTGAGGGGTTTGCGAGCGAAGCCGTTGAGGGCTCAGTTTGGGCTCCTCTCGGGGGGGAGCGAACCGCGCCAGGAGCGAGACGCGGGGGGGAGGGAGAAGGGGCGAGGAGCAGGAGGAAGAGCAGATGGGGGAGGCTGAAGGGAGCAGGGCGGAGTGGCTGAGGAGGGCTGCGGCTCACGTTCTGTCCGGGAGAGTCCCTTCGAGGCGCGAGCTGGTCTTCCCGGCTCGGTCCGTCTGCTCGCGGCGCGTGCCTTCGAGCCACCACCGGGCGCACCTGCGATCGCTCGCGACTGGCAGGCCCACGTCTCGCCTCACCGCGCCTGGCCGCCCAGAGCCGCCGGAGCCTCAAAACCCCCCGACCCACCCCAGAGGAGGAGGAGGAGGCGGAGGAGGAGTCGGAGGAGGAGGAGGAGGAGGAGGAGGAGGAGGAGGAGGAGGAGGAGGGATGGAGGAGGAGGAGGAGGAGGAGGAGGAGGAGGGGAGGAGGAGGAGGAGGAGGAGAGGAGGAGGAGGAGGAGGAGGAGGAGGGGAGGAGGAGGAGGAGGGGAAGGAGGCGGAGGAGGAGGAGGCGGAGGAGGAGGTGGAGGAGGAGGAGGAGGGGGAGGGGGAGGAGGAGGAGGAGCAGGAGATGGAGGAGGAGGAGGAGGAGGAGGAGGAGGAGATGGAGGAGAAGGGAGGAGGAGAGGGCAGGAGGCTCTCCTCCTCCTCCTGGCCACGTGCGGCTCGAGCGCGCCCCGGGAGAGAATTGGAGCAGCGGCATCGATAGCTCGGGGGCGGCAGAGAGGGTGCTGATGGCTAGGAGGAGGAGGAGGAGAAGGAGGAGGAGGAAGGAGGAAGGAGGAGGAGGAGGAGGAGGAGGAGGAAGGAGGAGGCGGAGGAGGAGGAGGAGGCGGGGGGACATTATTGCGGGGCTGTGATGTCCACCCCCCTGTGCCACGCACATGCCGCTGGCCATGATTTGCGCCGCTCTCTCTTGGACGCCCCCTTCTTGGATGGCCCCCGAATGTCATGCTGCTCCCCCACCCCCTCCCCCGCAAGATCCGACGGCGCAAACAGCGTGCAACACCGTGAGAAAGGACCACCGGAGACTTAGACCCGATCTTTCTGCGGCGTTTCTCGGGCCGGATCGATCGGGGTGGTGCCGAAACCGGGCAAAAGCGTTCGGTGTGGAAACAGTGCAACGCCCAGATCTCAGGTCACCCCCTCCTCGTCTTCGCGCGCCCCCCCTCGCCGTCCTCGTCGGCGTTGACGTTCGTCGTCGGAGTCTCCACCTCGTCCTCGTCCTCGCCTCGCAGGGCGTCAGCCATACACCTGCACCGATCCTGGCCAGGCCCATCCTCGGTGTATACGCCTTCCTGCCGGAGACAGGAGGGTGTATACACCGAGTCTGGGCCAAAGATTGGCCTGACCAGGATCGGTGTATACAGTTGCATAGTTGGCGCCCTCAGATCGCCCTCCTCCCCCTCGTCCTCGTCCTCGTCCTCGTCCTGCCCCCCCCTCGCCGTCCTCGTGGTCGACGTCGTCGTCGTCGTCGTCGAGGTGCTCGAGACGCAGATGACGTCGGCGGGCGAGCAGCGCGCCGCCGAAAACAAGGCGTACCTCTCGGACAAGGCGGACGACGAGGGGGCCGCTTCCACGGTGCAGGCCGCGTACGACGTGCTCGAGACGTTCTACAGGGAAGCGCGGGCCCACGCGTGTCTAGCAAAGCACTCCTCCTCTCGGAGAGGGGGGGGGGTGGCATTCACAGAATGGTAGCCGGCGTGACACCCGAACAGGAAGTTGTTGCGCTGTGGATGGGCAAGCTATTTGGTGTAAGCTATTTGGTGCATGCCGTGCGTTGCAGGATACGTAGCTTGAGCTCGAGGCGGCCACGAGGCGGCCTTGGTCGGCAACGTGGCGACACCTTGCGGGATCCACCCGGCGCAGAAGGCGGCCGCGAGTCGGCCAAGAGGCGGCAACGTGGCGAAACCTTTCGTAAAGCATCTCTGATTTCGGGGAGGAGGAGGAGGAGGAGGAGGAGGAGGAAGAGGAGGAGGAGGACATCTTGCAATAATTAGGCAGAAGTTGTTGGAGCTCTGAGGGGAGGTTTTTTAGGTCTGCGCTGGGCCCCCCTGGCGCTTCCCCAGGCCCCGCCCGTGGCGCCCTCCGCGCGCCAGCGCGCCAGGGAGGGGGGGCCCAGCGCAGATCTCAGGAGGGAACAAAAACACACAGACACAATTAATCGTCGATTCCCCAGAGAATATGGGAAAAGATGGGAAGTGGGGGGGAAGGCAAAAACCCAGAAAATATAGGCACATGTGGGGAATCTGTTTATGTGTGTGTATTTATTTGTGTGTCCCAGGGCCCCTTCAAGATACAAGAGATTCGCGCGGACCTCCGCAGGTTGATGTTGATGTCGGCATTCGTACGTCTAGGGACGCGGGCATGTCCCTCTACAGGAGAAATATTCAAACATAGTAAAGTAATTTTGTGGGGACGAATTCTGGATTATTTTGTACTAGTGTTTAGTATTTGTTTGAGTGTTTTGAATGTTTCGTCCAAAATCTGCCTGTAGGAGGACATGCCCAGTTTACGTCTAGAGCCGCAGGCCCATGGTTCAATGTTACGGGCAAATTCGCGGAATGCCTCCCCCCCAGAGCAGTCCGAAAAATATGAAGTACGCGGTATTTGGCAGGCAGGTCGGGATGTGCCCCAGAAGTTCGAATAACGGGTGAGTTCCAAACGAATGGGCCGACGTTGCGGGTGTGCGGCGGCGCTGGATTCGGAGACGCGGGTAAAGACCTCCATCGCGTCGGAACAACAAAAGGAGTGCGGAGGTTTTCGAGGAACATGATCACGGCGGCGGGGATGAAGGCGTTTTGGGGAGAGTTTTTCGGACGGTCTGGTCGGTTCCCGGAGGTCTTCCATTCTCGGGGTGCTTTCCAGCAGCAGCGCCTCGCCGAGAGCGTTCCAGGGTTGCCCGGATCACCCTGAACGGCCGCCAGAGGTCCGAGCTACAGTCGACCTGCATAGTAAGGATGAGCGATGTTCCACGGTTGCCCTTGCAGCTTGCACCTTTCCCCTTCGGCCCATCCGTTGCCGCCTTCGCCGGCCGCGCCCCGCTCGCAAAGGGTCGGCAGGGCCTTCCAAGGCCCTTGCATTTTCATCGCGCGCCCTTATTGTGCAGCGAAAAGTCGGACACGACCCTCCACATGAGGAAAATTGAGAAATAGTCAAACAATAGTCTGGGGACGATTTTTTCCGATTAGTGTTTGATTATGTTTGAGCATTCGTTGAGTATTTTTCACAGTTCCTCCACAATCCGCCTGTAGGGGGACATGCCCGACCGAATTACATTGGGGACGCGCATCAAGACACCCTCTGTCTCTCGTCAGGATGCCTGTGGATTCTTCGCTGCGCCTCGCTGCGCGGTGACTTCCCGCGGGCGTTCCGAAACTGATTCGCTCAACGTGTCTTCTGGCCAACCCCCCCACTTCAGGAGAGGAAAAAACACACAGACACAATTAATCCTCGATTTCCCAGAAAATATGGGAAAATATGGGAAGTGGGGGGGAAGACAGAAACCCAGAAAATATAGGAAAATCTGGGGAATATTTTGATTTGTGTGTATTTATTTGTGTGTCCTGGAGCCCCTTCACCACTGCACTCCGCGCGCGGAGCTCCTTGCGGCCGCCGCCCGCATTGGAGTCACAGGCTGACTGTATGACCCAGACGCCGCCGGGAGTCCAGACGGCCAGCGCAGTGGCAGCAGGTCGCGCGCGTTGTTCGTGTGTGTATTATATATATATATATATTATATATATAATATATATATATATATATATGTACACATATATATATATATGCGCACTCATAAATTGTTTACACACACAAAACGATTATATATATACAAGCCTGCAGTGGCACTTCGCGCTATGCGCCTTGTTCCGGACGCTTCCCCGGCGAAGCAATCAATCATCGTTTGTTTCAGCACCGGTCCCCACGGGAGGAGGTAAGGAGAAAAGTTCCGTTTGGCGTTTAATCTGCCACCTCGAAGGTTTATCCTTATCCATCCCTTCCTCCTCCATTCATCCTCTTCCGCCTCCTCCGGTGGTTGAGTCCATCCTTTGAGGAAGCAGGAACGTGCCCATGACACGCCGACGAAGTCGCAGTAGCTCCGAACAATCGATTTGTGGCAGCTTCCCGAATGCCTGGAGGGCTCCAGCCCTCTGGAAACCTTCGACCGTCTACATCCATTGCCTGTCTCTTTCGATCAAGGAATTTATGCCTCGAGCCTCAAGCATGGAACCAAAATCGCCGGGTCAGTTCGATGAACTTCGTAGGAGAACGCCATCTGGGCGTTTTTTTGTTTGTTTTGGGCCGTATTGGAGCCCTCTTGGGCCGTCCTGGGGCCTTCTTGGGCCGTCTTGGGGAGCTGGGGCCCTCCAGAGGTATTTCCCACTGCTTTCGTGGGTCTCTCTTGGGAGCCGTCTGGTGGCATCTTGGGCTTCTTACGGGCAGTCTCGGGGCTTTCTGGGGCAGTCTTGGGGCCCTCCTGGGCGGTCTTCAAGCTATTTGGGGGCCGTCTTGGGGCGATATCGGGGGCCCACTTAGCCGCGATGTTTGCTTCTTCGGAGCTTCTCTTAACTGCCTCCGGGGGCGTCTTGGGGACCCTCTTTGGCCGTCTTCAGACCATCGAGGTTCCTCTTGGACCGCGAGGAGGCACAGACCCCCACATGGCAACGAGCCCTCGCCAAGTGGGGCCCGGGGTGCCCGCCAACATCCGCGCAGGGAGGGTGCGGTCTCGCCATCGGGCCATGTGGGCGATCTTGCGTCGATGACATGTCGCCGGGTGCCCCCCTGACCGGAGCATTCGCGGAAGGGGGGTTTATCCCAAGGTCTGGTGAGGGATCGAGCCCGGCTGGATGCCCACATGACCTTCTGCCAGTCATCGTTTATAGGGGGATGGTCCTCCCAACCCCTATCCCACCTATGCGTCCCCCCGACTTGAGCCCTCCCCACACTCCACTTGTCCGGCCCCCCCCCAGAGGGGGGGGTGGGGGAGTGGGCAGAGGCGAAGGCGCAGGACGAGGCTGAGGCGGGGAACGACGAGGAGGCCACCGTGCTCCCCCTGGAGGCCTCCCCCCCACCCTTCCTTTGTCGGATCCCCCCCCCCCAGAGTGGGAGGATCCAACAGATCCCCACCCCCACCCCCCTTTGTCGGATCTCCCCACTGCCCCCCCCCCCCCAGAGTGGGAGAGGGCAGCGGGGAGAGGCGGAGGCGCAGCACGAGGCTGAGAGGGGGGAGCGGCGAGGACGCTGCCGAGGTCGGCGCGCCGGCCCCGAGGAGCAGCGGCCGCCGTCGCCTCGCTGCCGATCGGCGGCGGCAGACCGGCGCGTCGGCTCGGGGGTTGGTCCACTGTCGGGTCGGGCGAAAGGGGGGGATTGGGAAAGGGGGGGTTACGAAATTTGCTGCATGCAGCTGGTTTCGGCCTCACCGAGGGGCCCAGTCCTCGATACATAGTCGCCTCCGGCGCCAGGAGGCGCCGGGAAAATCAGCTACGTGAGCTGATTCTCAAACCCCCCTTTTGCTATCCCCCCCTTTCGCCCGACCCGACACTGGCGCACCCGTCCCGTGTATTCTGGAACATATGCCTATCCCTATGCTGGGCACCTCCTCATCACGATGCCAATCTTAGGGATTCCCGCATTTTTGAGGGCGAGTGCCTAAGATTGTCATCGCCTCTCGGCGTGTCGATCTTAGGGATAGGGATCTGTTCGAGGCTGGTAACGCACCCGTCCCGTGCACAGCTCCAGAGATGCAACGCACTGAAACAATCGAGACGGAGGTTTTTCTCGGTCTTCGGCCTCCAGGGGCCCTCGCCGGACCCTGGGACCGCCAAAAACAGTTCAGAGTGAAAGACCGGTCCAGGGGAATGGGCCGAGACCTTTGAGGGTCGACGCTGTGAACAAATCATGACGTCGGGAGTCTAGGTCCCGTGCACAGCGAAGACCCATGCCAAGAAACACCTTGCTTGCCTCCTGGGTGTCCTGGGCGCCTTGGGTTTCGATGGTTTTGCGATGGAAGACGCGACGTTCCCACACCAGACATCAAGGCACGCCCTGGGGTTCCAGGGTTGGGTTTCTTGTGGGAGGTCTCTTGTGGTTGGGCTCCTATTGTACAGATGCCGCGCTACCGCTTTGCATCTCGTGGCACGTGAGCAGCCAAAGCCAGACCCAGTGTTGAGTCTTGGTCGTGTGCGTACGGCGCGCCCGCGCCGCGGTCACGCGGCTGCGACCTCAGCTCCCCAGCGAGACCGTTCGAGGTTGAAGTCCCGCCAGTGGCCCAGAAGCGCGCTGTCGGAAGGCCGCGATCGTTCAAGGTGTTGGTGTTGACTGTCAGTGCGGCATCGGACAACGAGGCCGACATCGCCGCGACGTGGCCCCGCAATTGCGCCCCCTTCCCCTCCTCTCGGAGGAAGAGGGGCTGATGCTCGTGCAGAAGAAGTCCCGCGCGCCGGTCGTCGTGGCGGCGGGCAAGGCCATGGGGGGGTGAGGAGGTCGACGTCCTCGACACCACCGTCGTCATCGTCAAAGTCGCCCGTCGTCGCCGTTTTCGTCCTCGCCGCTGGGGAGGAGAACTGTCCCGCTCGCCCGCCCCGCCTCCGAGAAGTTGTCAAACATGCCGACGTGCTTCCCCGACCAGCTGTTCTTTCCAGCGCTTGCACAGCGGGGTTGTTGCTTCCGGATCGTGCTGCTCCAAAGGGGCTGAACTTGGGCGCGGCTGCCAGAGGCTCAAGTTCACGCAGGAGGAGGAAGAGGAGGAGGAGGAGGAGCAGGAGGAGGAGGAGGAGGAGGATATAACGAGGAGGAGAGTTAGAGGAGGAGGAGCAGGAGGAGGAAGAGGCTCCCAGGGAGGCTGGGGTTTCGTTTGTGGTCGCCCATGGGGTTCGGCTCACAGGGCCCTGCCATTGACTGCCTGGGGGTCTGGAGTTGGGTGGCCTCTGACCGCTCGCCGGTCCCCGCCCTGAGTTGCGCCGCCGCGGCGGACTGTGTGCTGGTGGGTGCCCCGAGGGCCCCCCCCCCCTTGCGCCCAGAGCCATGGTTGGTCGGCGGCCGTCCCCTTCCCGCAGTCGACCCCGGGCGGGGCCCAGGGTTGGCTGACAGTTGCCCGGAGTGGCCCGCCCGTCGGGCCTGGAGGCCGCGATCGTGGGGGGCGGGGCGATCCAGTGGGGGGGGGGCCCTGTAGAGGGCCCAGAATCCAGGGAGGAAAAACCACTCGGACCCGATGACTGGTGTTTACTAAACGGCCTTGGGCGTTTACTACACAGCCCTGCCTTGTTTGATTCCTTCTGTGGGCGCGCGTTCACTAAGCGGTTGCGCGTGCCGGGATGATCATCATTATGGGGGTGGATTTTCTGCCCTGTACTGAAGGGGGCCTGGAGGGCTCGAAAATGACACCATTCTCCCCCCAGGTATCGCCCCCCCCCCCTCGCAAGCATTCGCGCCCGAGGCCTCTTCCAAGGTGCCCTGCTCCCGCCGCTCGGCGGCCCCGCGGAGGGGCCGCGGCCCGGGCTGGCTGCGCCCCGAATGCCTCGTGGGGTCTGGGGTCGGTTTTGGCGTGGGGGCCCCGCAGGTGCTTTAAAAGTACGGGCCCGCCCGGGGAGGCGCGGGGCCCTGGGGGAGAGACAGTCGGGGGCGCTCTCGACTAGACGTAAGAGTGACCTTTCGCCGGAGTGACCTTTGGTGTGGGCACAGGTTGGCCCCCAGATGGCCGAGCGCGAAGCGCTAGCAGCGGCTAGCGCGCCTGGATTTGGCCTCCCCGCGGCCCCCCCAAAGCCGCGCACCAAAGGTCACTCTTACCCAGGGTCACTCTTACGTGTAGCCGAGGATCGGGGGCAGCAAAGAGGGGGGCGATGACCAGGGGGGCGGGATCTCGTGGCGGGGGCCATGACATTTCCCCAGAGTTCATGGCGCCTTTCCTGTTTCATTACGTCCCTGCCCCCCCCCCCGCTGGGCCGCGCACATGCCGCCGGTCGTGTTTTGCACCCCTCCCTCTTGGACACCCCCCTCTTGGCCGCTCCCGAGAGGAACCTTTTTCGCTGGGGCGGGGCTCGGTGTTCCTTATGTGTTTTACAGTTTGCCGATGGTGTCCCTTCTGTGTTCTATGGGTAATCGAAGCTTCACTTAGGGAAAAGAAGGGGCCTCGTTCCTTCTTGAGGGTTCCTTTGGTCAACACCCCGACTGTGCGTCATGAGAGACAGAGGGCGCGGAGGGAGGACGGAGGCGAGCAGAGATCTAGAGCAACGAGCGGGCAGGGATCCACGGGCGTGGCTTCCTCCTGGTCCCCGCCTCCCGCCAGGTTTTTTGGGGGGATTTGCCCCTCGGAGGGTCGGCGGGGGGGTCTGTGGGGTTTTTGCTTCTCCCCCCCCCCTTCTCTCGGCCGCCCCTTACTACCCACTACCCCCCAGAACTCAGTTTAGGGCAGTGGCGTGTCGGCTGTGTCCCCCCCCGGAGGCTTTTTGTTGCTCCCCCTTGAGGTGCTGGTTTCCCTGCCCCCCCTCGGGGAAGAAGCGGGGGGGGGGGGCCGAGGGCGGGGGGGCATGTGCCTCGAGGCGTGGTTTGTTTCCCTCGAGGCTCGCTTTTCCCATCGGATTCAAACTGTGGTCATCTAGCCAGCGTTGGAGTTCCCACCCGTCTACCGCGCACGAGGGTCGTGAGATGCTGCCATTTCCACAGCCGGGTCACGTGGCCTGGAGGAGGGGGAGGAGGGAGAGGAGAGAAGAGGCGACGGAGGGGAGGAGGAGCACCCGGGTGTTTGCATGCGCATGGTGTGGCCAGCCCCGGCCAGAGCCTCCGGTGCACACGCGAGCCGCAAGGTCGACCACCCGCCCGTTCGTTGCCATCCTCACCCCTCCTTCCCCTTCCCCCCCTCGCAGGGGAGGAGCGCACTGCAGTGTCGTTTTTAATACATGCTCCGCGTGCGGATCTTGTATCAAAAAAGTGCAGGGATCTAGTATCACAGACAACGATGAGATCATGCATAAATCTATTCATAAATTCATCATGTATTAAAATCCGATGTTAAACAAAAAAATCCCATGTATTAAAAGCTGCCCTGTACCACCACCAGGGGTGCCGCCTCGAGCGGAGAGGCCCACGGTGCCGCCCCAGGCCGGGGGGATGGGGCGGAGCCTCGCGGCCCGGAGGCGCCCCCGCCCCCGCCGACCACGTGGGACTCGCCGTATGCGGGCAAGACCGCGGAGAGCACGGGCGTGCTGGCCATCCTGTCCATGATCAAGGACGCGGCTTCCGGGGGGGGGGGTCGCAGGTCCGCCGCCGTGCCCGCGCAGCCCCCCCCTCCCCCTGGCCCCGCTCAGCCTCCTCCTCCTCCTCCTCCTCCTCCTCCTCCTCCTCCTCCTCCCGCCATGTTCTCCTCGCAGTCGTCCTCGCCCCTTTCCTCCTCCTCCTGCTCCTGCTCCTCGTCCTCCTCCTCCTCCTCCTCCTTACCCCGCCCCTCGTGATGAAGTGTCTCTAGCTAGTCGTGGGGGGGGGTCCCTCACGTTGGACTCGGATGCTCTTCTCTGTGTTCCTCTTGGTCGTGCTCGTGCCGCCGCGCCTCCCCCCTCCCAAGCCGAGTCATGGCTCCTCCCCTCCACGCACCTTTTTCCCTATCAGGGACGCGGCGCGGAGTTCAGTGTTGCGTTTCCGTGGTTTTGTTTGGTTGGACGGGGTCGCCGTCTTTGGCGCCCTCTGGCACAGTTTGGCAATTGTTTTCCGCCACGGCTACGTTCATGTCGAAATCACGGATAGCGCTTGGCAGGGGCCGTCAAAAGTCGGCTGCACACCGCCACGGGGCCATGAGCGTCATCAGGCACAGATCTTCCCGCAGGTTGCGTAACCAAAACGCGGTTTCCCTGGTGAGTACGGTCAGGAACGTGTGCCTTCCGTGTCGCGCAGCCGGTTCTGGACCACCACGTTCCGGTTCAACACGCCAGCCAGGTCCTGCTAGTCCCCGAGCGGCAACCAGCCACTTCGCCACGTCGCCAGCCAGCGACGTATTTGTGAGAGTTGCGCGTTCCGGCGACGCCGCGCCTGCGTTGTCCGCTTCTGGACCCCAGCGGAGAGTGTCACGGAGTGTGGGCGGGGAGCGCAGCACATGTCTGCACTGTTTGACTGGCCTGTGCAACAGTGGTGACGTGCCCCGGGTACGCGACTACCTTTAAGTCGGGCCTGTCCCCCTACAGGGTTTTTTTGACAGAAAAAAGATACTCCAAAAATGGTCCGAAAATACCCTCAAAATAGTCTGGGGACTATTTTTTGTATTTTGTTGACCTTTTTGGAGTAGTTTTGGGGTAGTTTTATTTTTTCGTCGAAAATCCCCCTGTAGGGGGACACGCCCGACGTAAGACTACCTTTACACGCTGGCCATAATGAACTCACTGCCCAGGGACCCTAAATGTTTCTGACCCCGTCCCGTCCTGGTGTCCAGGTGCGACATAGTTCATCCCCCCCTTCCTCCTTCAGGAGTCTTCTGCCTCCTCCTTTATCTCCTCGTCCTCCTCCCTCACCCTCCTCTTTCTCCTCCTGGTCGGCGTTTGATCTCGCTACTGCGCTCGGGCGCTGCCAGGGCGGGTGTCAACAGCCCCTACAGAGCTGACCGCAGCGTGGGTGCAGCAATGTGCTTGCTGTGACTACAGATGTTCGCGCCAGGTGGTCCCCATCGTCGTCGTTGTTCTCGTCATCGTCACTATCCGCCTCATTGTCGTTATCCTCGTCCGATTCATCGTTGTCTATGTTCTATCGTTGTCGGGACCATCGTCCTCGTCGCCTGTGTCGTCGTCGTCGTCGCGCCTCGCATCTCGTACAAGTGTCGGTGGAATTGGCCGCCACTGCTGCCAATCCAGACAGGCCTCGTCGGATGCACCGCAGTTGCCGCTTTTGCTCCTCGGCCCCTCGCATGTTCACCATGATCGCCATACTCCCTCGTCCTCCCCCGCACCCTCCTCATTGTCATGCTTCCTTCCTCCGCCGTCCTCGTTCCTCCAGCCTTTCTTCCTCACTCGTTCTCTTCCTCTGCCTCGTCAACCTCGTACCCGCCCCCCCCCCCACACACATGCAAATAGTCGACTTTCCTCCGTGGTCGTCCTGGGCCCTCATCCGTGCCCATGCTGCCTCCTTTTCCTCGTCGTCCTCGTCGTCCTATGCCTCCTCCTCCTCCTTCTCCTCCTCGTTTCCTCCCCCGTTTCGTCGCCGTCGCCACTGCCATCCGCCGACTGCCTCCCCAAGGAGGACATCGAACGTGACATCTCGAACGCCGACGCAGCCGAGGCGAAGGCCCTGGCAAGTTACACGAAGCTCATGGAGGATCTGAACAAGGAGAAAGGGATGCGCGTCGAGGAGAACGCTGCCATGGAAACGCAGAAGGCAAGAACATCACGAGTAGTCGCAGCAGGAGTCGCAGTGGCATGAGTGATGGTGTCGTCCGCGTAAATCTGTAGCAACAGAAGTAGCACTCGCATGAGTGCAATCAGTGGTCAGTAGTAGGAGTAGTAGCAGTAGCAGTAGCAGTGGTAGCAGTAGTAGTTGTAGTAGAAGTACTAACAGTAGTAGTAGTAGTAGTAGTAGCAGTAGTAGTAGTAGTAGCAGCAGCAGTAATCGTAGTAGTAGTGGTAGTAGTAGTAGTAGTAGTAGTAGTAGAAGAAGTAGTAGTAGTAGTAGTAGTAGTAGTAGTAGTAGTAGTAGCAGTAGCAGTAGTAGTCGTAGTCGTAGTAGTAGTAGTAGTAGTAGTAGTAGTAGTAGTCGTCGTCGTAGTCGTAGTCGTAGTAGTAGTAGTAGTAGTAGTAGTAGTAGTAGTAGTAGTAGTAGTAGTAGTAGTAGTAGTAGTAGTAGTAACATTACAACTAGTAGTAGTAGCCGTAGTCGTAGTGGTAGTTGTAGCCGACGCCGTAGTAACACCAGCAGTAGTAGCAGTAGTCCTAGCACGAGTAGTTCTAACAGTATCACTTGTAGTGACAGCATATCCAGCAGTAGTAGCATTGGCGGGAGAAGTCCCAGAAGTAGTAAAGTATCACGTGCATGTGTATATGTACATCTGCTTGAAGCTCAGGTTGTAGTAGTAGTGGCCGTAGTCGCGCTTGTAGTCGTAGTAGCTGTCGTAGTGTTCATAGGAGTGGTAGTCGCAGTAGATGTGGTAGTCGTAATCGTCGTAGTAGTAGTAGTCGTGGCAGTAGTAGTGGTAGTGGTAGTCGTAGCCGTAGTAGCAATAGTCGCAGTCGTCGTAGTCGTTGTAGTACGGGTTGTAGTATGAGTAGTTGTGCGAATCGTTCTACTAGTAGTGGTACTAGTATGAGTAGCAGTAGTAGCAGCAGTAGTAGCGGCAGTAGTAGTAGTAGTAGTATTAG